TTCACTATTTTCTGACAATAATTAATTGAGAATGTAATTGGTAGATTAACTAATGTTGGAAATAATAGTCGCAACCGTTGTTCATTCTCCCTTCTCATATCTCAATATAAGAATTTGAAACAATACAGTTATACAAGGATGATATGTTATAATACTAGATTATCTCCCAGCCCTAGTGTTGCTTATTGAGGTAGACTCATAGTCAGGGAGGCACATAGACAGTCTGCCCTCATTGCTCTACTCACACACATTCACACACTCAGACACACACACACATACACACGCACACACACACAGACAGGGCTCTGGTTTTTAATAGGCAGCCGGCAGGAGAGGAAAACACAGATGCAGGGCTTTAGACATTGAAACTATTGCCGTGTGATTGTGGAGCTCTGCACTGCTGCTGTTTGCATGTGCGTGTGTGTGTGTGTGTGCATCATATCTAGGGAGATATTTGAATAGTTGAGAGCAAGAATTGATTCTCTGTCTTTCAGCATCATCTAAAAGAAGTGAGAAAATATGTGTGACCACGTGGAGGTTTAAATCCTGTCCTGTTACAGAGTTATTTTTACTGGTCTTATTAAAGTAAGTCTCGCACCACCTTAAGTATAGCCAATCTCACCATCTCCGCTCAGAGCTTCATTATCTCTCCTTAATGTGTTTGTGCTGGCTTGTAGAGGAATGTGCTACGTTTCAGTATTCCCCTCCTGATTGAAGAGCTCCGTCTGGGCAGATGCAAGGTAATTCTCTAATGGGCCTCAGCTCCACTCAATAGCCATCAGTCAGTTATACTCAATAGCCATCAGTCAATTATAGTCAATAAGACAAAGCAGAGGACAGCGGGCTCTCATGCTGTCACTGTTCAGAGCGTCACAAGATTGACCGTCTCTATTTCAAAATTGGATTCTTTGCCGGGTGAGAGGAATATTTTCGGGTAACAACATCGGATGATGTGCCAGTTAAAAATGCCTCTGGTCTCTGAAAAATAAAATCTTGCCACTTCAGATGGATGGTTGCTTGTGTCCCATGACTAGCATTAATACCTCTCAAAATGTGGACATAATATTCTTTTTGCTCTCTGTTTTTTTTACCCCTGAAGAACTGCTGCAGGTTGTTAAAAAGAGAGGTCAAAAGATGACTATAATGCTTTGTATGCGTGGACAGTGAGCCCTCAAGGGTTGAGAAGGTGAGGAGGTTAAAGTGAAAAAGGATGGAGGCCACAAAGGAGGCAGGTTTTGATGAAGGTAGACGCTGGTTGAGGAAAGAGAAACCAGTCTTCCAGCTGAGCCCCTGGTGATGTTCTCTAACCCATCATGACATGAAAAATGCACCCTTCCCCTCTCTCTTTCCCCCTTCCCTCTTGTGCGTTGGTTCATCTCCCTCTTTGACACATTGGTTCACATTTTTTATTTACTCGACCACTCCACCCCCTCTCCCCCCAGGTGCTTGTTTGGAGATACACCCTTTCCCTTTTCTTTACAGCTCAATTACATGGTAAAGCCTGTAGTCAGCGTAGAAGGGTGACTGGGTCAAATGAAGTGGTTCACACCCTGCTGTAAATATACTGTAAGCTACAGCTTGTCCCTTGTGACTGTGCAATTTGGTGTATATGCTGCACAGGCCTCCCTCAATCCATCGCTCCATCACTCTCTTTCCCTGCATCCCACTACCCTCTCCCACCTCTGTTATTCCCCAGGCGGCAGGCCACATATTGACCTTTGTATCCTTCTGTTTTTCTCTTATGAAGGCACTCAAAGCTAAAGCAGAGAGGGGAAATGGAGCATCTGTCTGTGAATACATAAAAATGCAGACACACACACACACACACAAATATGCAACGTGCAAGCATATGCAAACTTGTTAATACACACTCACACAGTAAATATTGTGATCCTTTGATGCCTCAGACTTTTTGTTTGGCTTTTTAAGATTCGGGATAGGGGTCATTGTTTACCATTGAATGCTCGAGTCCATTCCTCCATATTTAATGACAAAGCTGTTTGTTCTCAGATGAAAAGATTAGCTTCACTCAGACATAACTTGATGGATCAGTGTGTGCTAGGGGCCGCTTGGCCACCGGGGCCGCTAGCCAGAATTCGGAGCCTCCGCGGAGAATAGCCCCTCTATTGTGCGGTTGTCAGGCTGGTCGGCTGCTGTGGTGCGCACTCTCAGACATGCTGGCATGCACGCAAACATATACTGATGTACACGCATACAAACAGAGACACTTATCACCAGAAAGAGTCAGTGTCAGGTCAGCCGGCTCGGCCTGTGGACAGCGCTGTATTGTTGCTAGCCTCCAGCTCTCCTGGACTTTTAACAGTGCAGGCATTCAGCTGTTACTGGTGACTCAGGACCAGCGGGCAGCGCGGCAAACAGTGTGACCAACAACACCTGCCTTCACACTGTCACACTGTTGTGTTCAAGAAGCCTGAGGAGCAAAGATAAATCAAGAATATTTTGATGAAGATATGTTGGTAAAAAAGTATGCTGAGTAACACAACTAAATTAAGTATGTATTAATATCACTGGCTAAAGATGAACTGCATGACTTAACACCAATATGACTATTCTAGGGGGAAGGTAAAAGACAGAGTGGGTGCAGTATACCTTTTATGAATTAGTATAGATTAAACCGGTCAGTAAGGAGCAAGTAAAATAAAGTATTCCCTATGGTAAAATGGAAAAAATGGGATCACAAGGGAAAGGTTTGAATCAATTTGTTCTGTTCAGATAGCCCTATTGAACTTATTGCTTTTTCACTTGACCTCCACCCCAGTGACCCCCACTGAGAGCCTGTAGAGATCAATGTAAAGCACACAGTGGGATCCCTATTCATCGGACTCAAGTGTTAACCTTCAGTGGAAAATCTAACCACTGAGATCTTGCGTTGACTTTTGTGTGCATTTCTAGCTTCCTGTCAAAACAATACAGATGTCATGTCAAGTGGCTGTTTGACTTTGACACTCCTTCCAGCCCGGCTCTTTGACTGGCATATTTTCCACAAGGCCCTTCCTTTTTTTTTTTTTTAAACATCCATCTTTAGTGGTGTTTGAGCTTGTTTGAGAGGTCACATATGGGTGCATAGTTGTGTACATTCTCATGGTTTGTGTGTTTTCGAGGTGCTGTCAATCAGCCCTCTCTCTCAGTGAATCAATATGTCTTTTGTGTCTGCAAAAGAGTGAGCCACCACCCCATCAGCCTCAGCCCACTCTGTCTGATATGCAGAAAACACAGTGACATCTCACATCCCCCAATTCAACCACAAGCAGCCTCAATTCAGTGACCTACTTCTCTGTCTTTTGAACGGGTCCCATGTGGTCGCAGAGTTGTTTCAACAATTTTTGGAATTTTGGGTGGCACTGTTGTTTAGTGATGATTTTAGCTGTGAGAAACTTTTACATGTCACAATGCAAAGATACTGTATTTTGCTGGTTTATGTCTTCTTGGAAAAAGGGAATAAAAGGCCATCACATACTCTGTGGAGTTGCTGATGCAATCTACTCTGTGATTAGGGATGGACCAGTCCCACTTTACTTATTCTGATACCTCAATTGATACCAGTACCAATACCAGTACCCTTAAAGCAATACCAATTGAGTGCTTCATGTGATACCTTTTGTTCTTCATTTTATACCCACTAATGAAGCATTCAGCTGTGCAAAATGCCACCAAATGCCATGGGTGTGTAGTTAAGCCATACTTCCAAACATTTTGGTGGCATCTCTGTGCTGAACTGCCACATCCATCAAATACACCGCACTAGACCTCAACACACCACTGTTTGGGTTGTAACTGCTGTGGTAGTGTGCCAGTCACACAAAACCACACAAATAGCCTTTTTGTTTTTGGGTACAAAACATGCAGGTAACATTTGACTGGGGAAGTTTTGAAACCAGTTGTTTCCATGTTATTTCTGTCAATACCTTAAAGGCATGGAGTACTGGCTCCCAGTCCTGACGTTTACTGACCCAGTACCAGGTTTTTCCAAATTTAAAATCTGTATACCTCATCATGCTGACTGAGGTCATTGTTATGTTGGGTATCATGAGGCCAAGGATTGATGTTTCTTTCTTGTCAGGTTGTTATAATATGGATATAACGATGTGACTTCATCCTCTGAGATCAGTGACAATACAAGCAATCAGTACAGAGGTGTTGCTGAGTTTGTTGTGGTTTTTGTTGTCTGTTTATTCATGTCAGTGTAGGGAAATCATGGTCACCTTTTTCATCAATATCTTAACAACCACCATGAGGTTATCCTGGCGAGGTCTGTGCTACACTTTGCCAAGTCTAGAGACAATTAGCAGAGTCAAACTAATACCCTACTGCATCTATATAACTTTGCCTTATACCTTCGCTCCATTGCTCTGTCTCCATCTGCCCTCATTTCCCTCTTTGTTCATTTGCTCTTGTTAAATTCTAGGCTTGGAAAAGCTTGTACATTGACGTTCCTTTCAAATAGGGCTATTAAAATACCATGCAGCTAGGTCTTATTTAACAGACTGCCTTTTAATTATGTGTGGGGAGACAACTGAGGCGGGTTCAGTTCATGCTGATATCAGCAGTATTTTTACTTCTGGTAAAAACACTGAGAGGGAAAATGTTCCAGGCGCACCAGACAAATGATCTTTTAAGTGCCTCTTGCCTTGTCGATGTTATCATTCAAGTATTCAGTAGGAAATTTGCCACACTACTGTATCAGTCAGCTAACACATGCCACAAATGCATTGTCACTTCCTGTGTATGTGTGTAAGTGAGAGAAGCATCCAGTGGGTGAGAGCTGGTCACCTGCTGCCATAACCCTCCTCTGGTGCCCCGTGGTGCCAGTGTAGCCAGCCTGGTAGTGTGATCCTGAGACACTTGTGCGCACTCACACACACACACACGCACACACACACACACCACCAGGGCACAGCTGAGCTAATGACTCATCTCTCTGCCACCCCCCTTTCTCTCTCTGTCTGTTCCTCTGTATTTCTCTGTCTCTGTCTGTACAGGGGACATCACTCAGAAGGGCTATGAGAAGAAAAGAGGCAAGCTGTTGGCACCGTACATCCCGCAGATACAAGGTAAGACACACAGGCCTGCAAGAAATTTACTGCCCTGCACAGGTTGTTGTCTTTGCTCTGGCTGCCCGGTAGCGTAGCAGTTAGCATACTGTCCTTGCAGGAGCAAACAGAATGAGGAAAAGTATCTTGTGATTTTAAGAATGATGATTTTTGGAGCTTCGTTTTTATACAGCATTGTTTTTGCAGTGACAAGTAGAAGAAGGAGAAATCCAAAATAAAATCCCACATCACAAACAGCATATAAGCAGAGCCAAAACTAATTCAGAAGTTGCATTTTTTTTAGTGGCGTAAATTGAGTATTTTTATATAAAATACCAGATGGAACATCACATGGTCATAAAGTTGTCATGAAGGATACTGTAGAGGCTTAAATCACCTGGTTAGATAGTGTATGTCTGCTGCTGTGTCCTAGATTCTTCTTTAACAGTGGTTCACTGACCCTTGGGTGTGTTATTGATGCCATAGCCCTGCGGCAGCCATATATCATAGTGTTTGTAGGGGCCAAGTAAAAATAGAAGTTAACCAACCAAGGTAAAAGACATACTGTAATGGAATCATAAAGATTTGGTAAATACTGGTTTAGATTTCGGTCTTTTGAGTATGTTTGTGCCCTGCTTTTATTATGGAGATGCTTCGCTCCTGTATTAAAGAATGGTAATTGGTAATGGTAATTATTTAGAGAAATGTTTGTTTATTTAATAGGCAGTTTGTGCGTATTTGTGCCTGCCACCCTGTGTTAGGCTGTGGGTGCTTTGAGAGGAGAGGTATTTAACTTAGCAATGCAGGGAGGCGTGAAGTTTCCCAGATGTATGTCACTACTTATTATCTGTCTATGGCTTTTGACTGTGTCGGGGGTAAGTGCATTTATACATCAATTCAGAGTATTTTTAGCTCCAGTCGAGCAGTCAGTCAGTCAGACCCGGCCACGTCGGGCAGACTATAAGGCCGAGGTGGTTTGTGGTGAATCCCAGAGAGGAGCCGCCGTCTATATGCTTCATGCTTCTTTGTCCTCTATCTGGGGTCCATGGCAGTCTTTGGTTTGGCGTGCTATCAGAACACCAAGTCTGACTGGAAACCAGAGTCTGTTGTGGGCCGCTCGTTGAAGGCTTTCCACTGGAGTGAGCAGGCCTGTTATTTAGCTTGGGCGGATCATCTCCTTCACTCTCTGTCATTCTCTTGCTCTGTTCTTGTTATCATAGAGTCATGTTTTTTTTCCTCCTTTCCCTCATTGTTAGATCCACTCAGTCCAGATTCTAACACCTAAAGAAGGGAAGTGATAGCTATAGGAAGGAAATAGATGGGCTTTGGAGTGGGTGATATTCTCCCCCACGGGATGAATGGATGTGTTGGGAATTAATGACACATCCATCCAGCATGGTGAATCAGTGGGTTAGGATTTAACAGCTGCAGGGTTGAAATAGGAGACCAATAGACTGATGGCTTCTGAGCTCAGAACAAAATTTCACAAGTTAGTTTACGGCCTTATATTCCACTGTTGTCACAGGGCTGAACATGTGCCAAGTGCAATAAAGTTAGGGACAGAGCCAGATTGTTGAGATCTATGAGATTAATTTTCTCTTGTTTGTATTTTAGTGTTTGGGCTTCACTGTGAGCTGTGGGAGTAAATAATTGCTTTATGTTTTGACCAAACATATGGAAAAGGTTTGCACTTGAATGTGAGTTTATCAGCGTCAAATTGAGTTCTGTGGAGAATAGAATACAGGTGCATCTTTAATGATGGTTTTTAGGCAGTTATAATTTTCCGACTATGAATGCAGTTGCTGATTCTCCGCTCGTTCAAACTGAATTCAAACATCTCTTAGTTTACATTAGGCACGTGTCATTCCAATTAATTATTTATGTCTGTGATTCAAATATACGACAGTGCACTCGATGCAAGTCATTAGCCAAGCATATTTAATCTCTAGGAAGCGAGATGGAGTGCTCGTGTCGTCTGCCGCCACACCGGTAAACGTTGGCATCAGACAAGGGCTAAAAATTCATCAGGGTTCGCTGTGAACCAATAACAACATCTGCTGTGATGGAGCACGTCTCTGATTGGCTCATTGCGGTCTGTCTCTGAAGTGTGTTCTTCCCAGCAACCGGGTCTGGTGTCCTGGCTTGTTTTTATAGACCTGTTTCCTCCGGGAGCTGGGGAAAGGCTGGTGGGTGACTGGGCTGTCAGAGCGATATAAGGGACCAGCATATATTGATGTGTCTATCCATGCTTAGGGGATGCTGTGCCTGTGTGTGCATGTGTGTGTGTGTGTGTGTGTGTGTGTGTGTGTGTGTGTGTGTCAGACTCCAAGCATTATGCGTCCTCAGATGACCTCAGGCCTTATTGAAGCTTGCGTAATATTTGAAACTGGTGTTATTGAATAGATTTAGTAGAAGCGTGTGTGAATGTTGCCCAGCATTTCCGTGTGTGTGTGCTGCTGCTGTCTGAGAGTTGCTGACAGTGTGGAGCTCACTGATCCCCACTAAGCTGCCGCTGAAAAGCCGGGCGGGCTGATGGCTGGCTGGCTGGCTGGCTGGCTGGCTGGCTGGCCGGGTGTCTGACTGGCAAGCCAGCTAGGTGTTGGATCTAGCTGGCTGAATGTGGCGTGGTAAGACTGTGTCCTCAAAAGCCTTTTTCTGATGGGGGAACTTGCAAAGGCAGACGCTCTGTTTGGTTCACTTGGTCAACAGAAGTTGCAGCATCACAGCAACATCGAAGCTGTCCACAGTCATACATGTTTTTTAGCAACACTGTTAATTTTGGAGCCCTTCTGTGCAGAGTTTGCATGTTCTCCCCAGCGTGAGTTTTCTCCAGGTACTCTGGCTTCCTCCCACAATCCAAAAGACATGCACGTCAGGTTAATTGATGACTCTGAATTGGCTCCAGCTCCCCGCAACCCCTAACAGGATAAGCGGTTACAGAAAATGAATGAATTTTCATTTTGGCACCCACATTTAGATTTCCATTATTCCACAATGGGCCTGTAGTTTTATATAGTGGATGTGGCCACCCATTGGTTTGTCGAATCCTGTTTTGAAGCCGCGTGTTTGGCATTTTTGCCGGCGCCATATTGGATTTTTGGAGCCAGAGGTGACCATATTTGGAAAAGAGGGTGGAGCAGTAGAGCAGCGAGTGGTGAATGTGACTTATAGACTAGACAGCCTGTCACTTAAAGCAGCCCTGACCTTAACTATGCATAATTTTATGCCTTGATGAATTGTAAACAGGTGAGTTAAATAAAAATGCCCTCCTTGTAAAGTTGTCATAAATGGAAAAATTGGCTATAGAGACCAAAACTGTTTTTTGTACCAGGCTGTAAACATGTTTATTTCTACTGTACAGCTGGCCGTTTTTACGTGGGGGTCTATGGGGATTAACTCTCTTTTGGAGCAAACCTCAAGTGGCCACTTTTTGGCACTTAGTTTGGCTTCATTTTCCAGCCTTAGAGGTTGCTGCTTGAGTTTACTCACATTTGGCCTCCTCAAAGGAAGTCATGTGTTTTTCATTTTAACTTAACCATGTTACTGTGAGTTTAACGAAGGCTCTATTCAGGACACTTATTAAGCTATAATTTAAAACCTATCCTACAATAATTCCACATTTTGTCATATACAAAACTGTCAATCACTATCCAATGACAGGCAGCTTCCCCTAAACATTTAGCTGAGGTGCATGAATAATATAGCAAGACTAATGTAATGTTAATGATGAGTCTGTCACACTGTGTCACCAGCTTGAATGCGTTGGAATATTACCCAAAGTCATACTTTTTTCTAGAAGTTACTCATCCTTAAAACCATTCAAAACACTTCCCGTAAGAAGGAAACCTTCAAAAGCTGTAGATATCAAACCACAGATAAACAATATCAGGATATCAGCAAAGACATGTTACGTTCTTGCCTCCCACCAGAGAGCAGTGGGATTTAATTCATGGTGGTACGCTGGCTTGGTTGTGCATTCAATGAACTCAGTTGTCTTTGTTTGCATATGAGGTTTAATGTCTCTGTTACTGCATTTTTTAGCATCCACTTATCAAGTTTTATTGGAATAAATGGCCTAAAAGATGAGCTGTGTTCCCAGTATAACACCTCTGTAGCGTGAACCTGAGCCTGTGATGTTCCAGGTTAGTGTTTGTCACCTCCACAGGAGCTCTGGTGCTTTACCTGCACAAAAATGTAATGTATTAAGTTATTTGTTGTGCTGCTGCTGTGTATATCTTTAAGTATAAAACATGCAGTGTTTAGGTTCCCAGAAACTAGACATTGCATAAATCAAAGTACAGGCAGAAACCTGCAGGAGGCTGTGGAAACATGGCAGTGGTTGGTATTGTTTATCGAGACAGAGCTACAGAAGTACAGAAACATCCTTTTAAACTGTACTCTCATCTTGCTGGAAAAATATACCTCATAAAGCTGTCGGATGTATTGCTGAGTTATAGTAAAGATGCTGTTCCTTTGATGACTTCCTGTTCCATTGTGTTTGAAGTTGTCCCTCATCTCTGCCTAAAATAAACTAAGGCCTTTCCTTACTCAGCAGACATACAAATAAGCTGTGGTGAGATACATTTGTTTAGTTAGTGTATTTATATTACATATTGACATTACATGTGTATATGTGCATTTAGATTTTTAATATGTAGAACATAATATACAGGGGGGAGTTCATCAACATCAAACTTGTGATGTACATTAAAATAAGGTTTGTTTCATTCAGTCATATTTTACATACTTACATAATTCAAACACATCAGTATGAGAGCATTAGAAGAAGCAGCAGAAGTGAAGCCAGTGGTAGAAGACTACAAAAAGAGCTTGAACCGCGACCTTCCTTCAGGCGGTAGTCTTGGGTTTCCCCTCTGATGTTAACCACAATACTTAATGAGGCTCAAATGAGAATTGCATAAGCAAGAGGATGAATCACTACCTGCGTCATGCAGAGCACAGAGAGGTTGACGAGTTTGAGTGTTGGATAATTTTAGAATGCTCCAGTTAGAAGATGTTGTCTGTTTGACATTCATGGTGCTTAATCACCTCCTTGCTGTTATGTCTGTGTAATTTGCATTTGCCTCCCTTGGAAAGCTGGAAGGCGGCTGGAAAATTGCAAGAGAGGCGGGATTAATTTAAGCGAGGACTTTCACAACTCCAAGCTACTGTATTAGAAGTAACAGCTTAAGTAGGGATTACCATTAAGCTTATGGATACTTGATCTAGTAGAGCAATATTCATATGTGGTACTCCATGTCCAAGGCATGTTCTGCAATAAGTGAGCAACCCCAAGTCAAAAAAGTTGGGAAGCTGTTTAAAAAGTACGTTAAAAATAAATGCAGTGTTTTCAAATTCTTTTTGACAAACAGTTGGGGGAGAAGCCTTTGTTTGCCAGCTTCAACACACTTCCTGTATGTAATGTAAGTAATGTCTCACAGTATTCACAGACAGTTTTTATATGAGGAAGATTTTGGTTGGCCTGCTTGTGAATCTTGAGAAAGAAATTTCGCTTTCAAAACTTCAACAATTAGTGTCTTCAGTTCCCAGATGCTTAGTGAGTGTTGCTGAAAGAAAAGGTGATGCAACACAGTGGTAAACATGCTCCTGTGCCAACTTCTTTGGAACGCGTTGCAGCCATCAAATTGAGAATGAGCGTATATTTGCAAAAGTTTATAAGTTTGAACATTAAATATCTTGTCTTTGTCCTGAATTCAATTGGATAGAGATCGAAAAAGATTTACAAATCATTGCATTTCTTTTAATTATGTTTTACACAGCGTTCCAACTCTTTTGGAAATGGGGTTATATGCTCATATTTCTGATGGTGATCTGTTTTGCTTTTGAGCCATTATTAACTGTCTTTTCCTGCTTTGGTCTCGTCTCTCTACAGGTGTAGATCCCTCTCTGCAAATTGACAACAGGATCCAGGCCTCCTCCCAAGCTGTTCTACCAGGTTCCAAACACAACAAATCCCGGGCGGCCAACACCCGGGATGAACGCTTCAGATCTGGTAATCATGTCTCCATACTGCCTGGGAGTTTTTAAATGCCTGGTGCCCTTCTTTTATGCTGGAGCTTAACTGAGTTGATGTGTTCTCTTAGATTTGCACACAGAAGCCGTCCAAGCAGCTTTGGCAAAGTACAAGGAGAGGAAGATGCCAATGCCCTCCAAGAGACGATCGGTGTTAGTTCAGTCTTCTGTTGAGGCATGCACCCCGCCAGGTGAGAGTTCTGTTCCTGTAAACCCCACTGTTCGCCAAGGACAAGGTTTATCCTGTGCACATGCAGCCGAGGTTTATGCTCACACTGGGTTGTTTACATGCGCTTTCATGAGCACTGGAGTGTAGGATGCTCACACTGTTGTGTCCAGTGGTTGAAGAAGTTGCCAAGCATTTGCTACTGGAAAGAATTGTGCAGTTTGATGAATGTGTCCATTCTTTGTGACTATAAAGGGCTCATTTCTCACCGTTCTGTGTTCCCAGGCAGACCTTCCTACATGAGTTGCATAATGGATGCATAATCAGATTTTTAACATAGTCTCAAAATGTCGACCTTTCGCCTGCTTTTGTAACAGTTTGTATTGTGTGGGCAAGTTCATTTTAATGTCATCTTACTGCATTCTGCATTTTTTGGTTGCGATTTCTTTTTGTATTGTTAGCTTTGCCCAAATGCTTCCGGAAGAAAAAATGTAATCTTTAATCTGTCAGTATGATATCTGTGCAATATGTGATGACAGAAAACTTGCCAGTCTCTCAAACACTGCAGTGGCTTTATCATTGGTGTATAAAAGTTAATTGGTGGGGGGCCTTAGAGCCTCATGTCTTGGGTAAAGAAAGAGGACACAGCGGTGGAGCGAGTAAACGGATTAAGAGCTCAGACATCGGGGTTTGAACAGGAGAAGGAGGGGGCTTCTTCATGGTTGTTTTCAGTCACTCTGATTGATCTACTGCAATCTACTGGGACAAGATACATAGGTATTGCTAACAGACCCACAAAATCACACAAAATAATCTGGGGCTCTGCTTTGTTTTCAGGGCTAATGGCAGCTACAGGTGTTGGTGTGCACACAATGGCACAGTTGTTTCAACATTTCATCTGAGAATTGGTTCTAAATGGTAGACTTCACGAGATTACACTAGCAAACATTTGTCAGGAGCTGTAAAGGTGGTGGATTTAATGGATTTCTTGGCCACTGATGGCACTGTAGAGTAATATTTGGACAAACAGATCCCAGTATTATTAGTGTATGTATTTAATGCACATTCACATTGATTGACTTTCTCCTTTTCTATCTCTCATTTTGCTAATCTGCAGTGGCTGATTTACATCTGGTCACACTACGTGTCTGAACAGTCCCTGTCTGATTGTGAAGAACCAGTAGTAATGTGAGCAAAACCATTTTCATTTTGCCAGACCTGTCATTCAATCCAGTGTGGCGTGATTGGATGGTAGAGGCCTTAATCAAACAACATGCAGTTTATGTAGCTAATGTACTGACCAACAGTTACAATAAACACAAAACATGCAACAACACATTTATTAACACCTAACATTAAAAGTCTTCTACAGTGTATTTTAGCAATGCTAGCAGCATTGCCTTAAGATTAGCAGTGTTGGTTTGTCGGTCAGTCCACTACTTTGCTCCAGAGTGAAATATGACAACAACTACTGGATGGATTGCCACTAAATTTGAAACAGAAATTCATGGTCTTCAGAGGATACAGACCTGGGACACATGTGCAGTCTTTTAATGTCTGAAAAAATGCAAGATGTTTTGGTCAGGTGAACTTTTAAGGGCGTGGAAGCACATGACACCTAACTGTATCACTGAGGGTGCTTTCAGACTTAGAGTTCACTTGCTTTGGTCCGAATCAGGGACTCATTTTGCTACAAAGTTGCGTAATTGCCTAGAGTTGGTTAGTGCTCTCATGGCAACATTTACAAGCGAACCAGATAAAATATCTTGCACGAGAAAGTTGCTCTTGATTTGTCAGAACTTCCATGCTGGAAAAATCCAGGAAGTTAATAAAACATTGAAAAAGAATACACTTGCAAGATAAATGCGACACTTTCTCATGTCACAATGGAAGGGCAACTACACGGGTTGATTTTAGTGCTGGTCATTGTGTACTACATTGCTTGCATTGTTCATTTTAGGCAAACCATTGGCGCTCACTCGAGTGCGATTGTTGTGCTCACACCTGCACAAACGAACCACACTTACCAATACCTACTTACCAGAAATCCTGAGTTTGGGGCTAATGTTCTTCCAGGCATTGTCATTGGCAATGTGTACCAAAGTATTGTTCATGGGACAGATGTAATGCTCACGGTAGCCCTGCACTAAAACGATCAAGTTCTCCTCCATATTTATCTGACTGATATGGAAGAAAGTGAAGCCTGTTGTGAGTGGTTGTTCCTCATCAAATGACAGGCGGTGCGTTCTGCTGCATTCCTTCATAAAGTTGAATATATATCTCAGGGCACAGCGATCATGCCCTGAAAATAGGCACTTTGGATACGTGCTCACTTTGCATTTGTGTTTTTTTGGCACTGTATCCGTGTAATTCGTAGTTTTCTCTCAGATGCGTGCTGCTTACAGTCTGACACCTTGTTGTTACCTTCATATAAAGCCCCAAACTAAATGCCTGAATACAGTATTTCATCAGTGCAAAAGAATATCTGAGTTCTGTCTCTGCTTAGGATTTCTCTCTCTTTTATATCCCTCCCAACCTCCAAATCCTCCACCACTGCCTGTCTCTCTCTGGCTCAGTCTTTGCTATCTAGTCTTGTTTTTGTCTGTGTGTCTGTGACTAATACCTCCTTTCTTTTTCAGTTTCCTTTCCATTCTTTCCACCTCTCTATTTCTACTTTGCATTTGTTCTCTGACCCCCTCTTTCCCTCTCCCTCTGTGTAACTGTGTCAAGGTTACTGAGATTGGGAGAGAGATTGGAGAGAGGCAGAGGAATAACAAACAGAATCATAAATGCGAGATAACCCCCACGAGTCTGCTGGTTGTAGAGACATTAAATTCTAGCTTGTTATAAGCAAACCTCCTCCAGCCTTCCTTTGGCAGCCTCTGCAAGGCCACAAGAAAGCCTAAGGAAGGTAACAGTGATTTCTGGAGTCTCACAATTGATGGGCTTTACTTGTAGCTACGTACTGTGAATGATTAGGAGGCAGATTAATTGCATGAAGGCTCATTAGTTTAGAGAACATTATCAGGCATGTGCTGATCACACACACAGGCTTAATCTCTGTTTTCGAAATGTCTCGCTCTCATCCCCTCAGTGGACTTTGGATAGGTTTCTACATCATTAAAGCTTTGTTTTGTAAAGTGTGCTCAGAAACTTTAATGCAGTATTTTAATACGTGTGAATGAGTTTTGTACTTTGTATGAGTTGCTGCTGTTTACCTCCTTAATGATGAATAATTGGGGGGGGGGAGTGTGACCTTTCTTGGTAATTTTGAAAACAGTTGTTTCATTTTCTCAAGTGGGTGATGCCTAAGCCTGTTTAGCCCTTTCATTGCACCCAGTTCTCTGCAGAATACCAATCTCTGAGTGGCCTGCTCTTTTGTAACTTCAGTGATCCCTTTGAAAGAACAGACGTTCCTGGGAGCTTGGCAGATGAAGTGGAATGTGTTCATTTTGAATGATCCTTACCTTGCTTTGAAGTTGTTCCTGTTTGGGCTATTTTTGCTGAGACCAAATGCTCACAGTTGCCTCAAGGGAGAGACAGTAAAACCCTCAGTGTCTACATTTGAGCCCAAGCCATAATTACTTAAGCATACACTACACTTTGAAAAGTCTTAAACCTACATTGCGTAGAAAATTTGGTCAGACAATTTCAGTTAATGATTGTATTGTATGTATTTTTCCAAAACACCTTCAAGCAGGAATCCCAGTATCAGTTAGGTAATATGTAAATCCAGTCTCACTTGAACATCCATTTTCCTGAGGACTGTAATGCAACGTACAAAAGATTTATAGGATCTTATAAGTGTGTAGTTATAGCAACTGTAGACATATAACTTTGTATTGTTTATACTATAAATATTGCTCTTAAAGGGACAGTTCACCCCAAAATTAAAAATACATATTTTCCTCTTACCTGTAGTGCTATTTATCAATCTATATTTTTTGGTGTGATTTGCCAAGAGATGGGGATACCGGCCGTTGAAATGTCTGCCCTCTCTCCAATATAATGGAACTAGACGGCACTCAGCTTGTGAGTTTAAAACTCAAGATAATTCATAGGCCTTGTTTTGGGCAGTTTCATGTAGGAACTATTTTTTTTATTTTCTTTCTACCAAACTACACTCACCAACCATTTTATAGTGCAGAAGGAAGCGTACATTTACTGCTAGCTCACCTAGTACCACTGCTCAGCCAAGGAGGACGCCATTAAATGCTTACACTTAGAGCTGTGTCGAGCACAAACCTCTCGCCCATGAATGGGTGCATGCTTCCTTCGGTGCTTTCATACAGTTGTTGGGTGTAATTTGGCAGCAAGAAAATAGATCCCACAGGAAACTGCTCACAACAAGGTCTGTGGATTATCTTAAGTAACTGGGTCATGATTTCTGGAGAGACATTGCTGTTGAGTTTTTCAAATGTATTTTGTTGGTGCTTTGACCACAACAAGCTGAGTAACATCTAGCTCCATTATATCCAAAAGCTAGCAGACATCTTGATGGCCTATACCTCTGACTCTCGGCAGCTCACACCAGAATAATATAGATTGACAAATAGCACTACAGGTAAGAGGAAAAACATGTATTTTTTATTTTGGGTGAACTGTCCCTTTAAAAAGCTGCATTTGTTAGGTGTATTCGTTTGATTAAGATTACTTAAGTCATCTGTCAGTGTGTAAAAACAATACCTCGTTTTTGTCATTTTCTTGTCGTCCACAAATTTGAAACACTCTGGTCTGTCTGGTGTCTACAACACTCATTCAAATAGTACATATATAGATGCAGTAGGTAAGGTTATGATGTGTGTCTGTGTGGCTACTTTGAAAGGCAATCCAATATTAAGTACATACTCTACCAGTGAAGTCATAACACATTTAACAACAATCATCCCTCAGCTTAACAACTTCCATCTCCATCCCAGTCATCTGGCCCTCCTACCAGCTTATATGTACTCTCTCCAGTATGTATAAGTGGAATAATGTGTCATCAGCATATCATCTAAATCCTGCAGCCCCATGTCTTTGTCCACTGTTGTGACGCTGCCCTGTCTTGACCTGTCAAACACAGACACCTCCTCAGCGTCAGAAGACGAGGGCTCGCTGCGCCGGCAGGGACGTCTGGCCACCTCCACGCCCTACCAGGGCCACGGCCACCCAGCCGTTGAGCACTGGTTTAACCGTGTCATCCAGGGTTCGTCCACCTCATCCTCCGCGTCATCCACTTCATCCCACCCGGGAGGGAGATCCGTCACCACCACCAACACCACTGCCCACGCAGCCCTCAACGCCAACGCTGCAGCTACCGCTCTGGCCGACCTTATGGCACACACCCAGCTAGGTCAGTGGCACACACGCAGTCTCACACAGCATCACATCACGGCTGGTCGATCTGTTATGTTCTTGTCCCCCTTTTTAATTGATGCAGCGCTCACATCACGTCAGAAGTGGTTGTGAGCTAAGGTAGTGTTGTAGAGCTGGAATGAGGTAACGTTTTCATGCCAAGCAAGGACACAATATTAGATGTTCAGATTATTTGTGTAGTATTCTCACTTTTCAAGTGTGCTGGTGGAAGATTCCTGATTAAAATGTCATTGCCTTCATGGTAAAATTCCATCTACATGCAGCCCTTTAACAAGCCTGCAGAACCCCCTGCTTACCTTTATGGTTCTGAATTCCTCCATCTAAATATACACGAGTCCCAGAGTCTGCACAGATTTTCTTCTATTTTCATTTTCTTATTGGCAGAAGTTTGACGCGTTCTATTATTGCCAGCCAATCAGAGTTCATGTCTTGTCAAAGTTGACGTCTTAACCTGTATTATGTTGCTCAGACAGTTTTTCTGTAACGGCAGCACAATCGCAGGCAGACAGCGATGTCTTTCACATCTGCTACTTCCAAAGCCATATCTTCCCACAGATACACAGAGGCACTCGATGAGGCAAGACAAAGGAAACCAGCGACAGAGTTTTAATTCACGTCTTTCTAATTAGTCGTCTCCGTCTGCCATCTCACTGTCATTCAGTCATGTGAAAGGGCTCGCAGCCACTTCCCCCGTCAAAGCTACTCGCTCCTTGTTGCCATGCGAGTGTCACAAGCTAGTTAATGAGATTCGGTGGATTTATCTCCATCCGTCTCTCTAGCAGCAGCAAAGTGAGATGGTGTCTTGCTCGTGTATGTATGTGTGTGTGTGTGTGTCTGTACGTGTTGCTGGCAGAAGGATATCCTATTAGGATGGAGCAGTCTGATTTCTGTCCAGCTTGTCATCCCTCAAGGTTGCTGTCATAAAGTTGCAGCAGTGACTGGTGCTGAATGGAGCTGTAAATAAATCTCCCATATTATCCTGTTTCCTGACCCCTAAAACGCTGTCTGTCATTCACTTTAGCAATAGACAATGACTGGCAGGCCGTCAGGCATTTCGCATTCACATGTTATTTGTAGCTGACACAGTACATGTATAAGTTATTAGGTTCTTTGGCTGGAAACCTCAGTTCTCTATAAGCATGATTTACAGCGATTTGTTTTAGTGTTACCACAGCAATCTAGGTTTACATTTTTAAACACAGTTTCCATCACACCACCAGCACCTATACTCCCTTTCACTTTATCAGATACGCCTGTAAAATGTCATGCAATACAACAGCTCAGCCATAGATTCCACCTTTACAAAGATGCTCAGATGTTTTTTATTGTGGCTGTAGTTTGCACTGGTGTTGAACATTATATTAAGAGGTGTTTCCAATGTGTTGCCAACCCCATTTACAAAAAGGGGTGTAACAATACTGGACTGAGATATTGATTTAGTAATCAATGATCCAATATCATCAATGCAAAGTAAAAAAAAACATTGATACATTTCGCCATCTTTAAGATATGCCTTTTCTTTTTTAAAATTCCCATGACATATCTGTGTCACCATTTCCGTCCAAGCACACCTGCTTTCTATATATTCAAACAGTGCTAGCGTCCTAGCGCCACGCTTACAATTAGTGGCAGAAAAAAAGACAACGAGGATATTTACAGATATCGCCTCTTATTGATTGCAGGCCCCTGAATTGAATCGAATGGAAATAGTATCCTGGCAGACCCCATTTACAAACATGACGGGAAGTATGTCAGAAACACTTTTCAATATAATGCATTTCAGTACAGCACCGTCACTTGCTATGACTTCAGTAATAAGCATATGCTGTAGATGAATTAGCACTTTTCTGACAGTGTCAACAAAAACCAAACAGTATAATCTTCCTAAATGTGGAGTTGTGCAGATCTCCTGTTTTGGATTGCTTTCAGTTGTAAAGATAAAGTAGCCTGGTACCAAGCATGTTTCCAGGTGTTTTTAGTGTCTCCCATCAGGCTTACTGATTTGGTTTAAAGAAGTCTTGGCTGTGTGTTATTAACCGATCTGTGAAACTGTATTGTGAGGCATCATTGTAAGCATAAAAAGAGGGGACAAATGGAGGCCGTCACAATGTCCTCAGACTTTTCTGTTACTCATACAACACAGCCATCTTGTTCTCTGTGGATATACTGGGGTGAATGAATCTGCTGAGTAGAAACATTCATTCATTATCATGGCAGGTAGTTCAAATGGAGGTAAAATGTGAAGTCGTTGTTAAAACACTGCTACAGTTAAAGTCTCTGCACTTACAGATGACAAAAAGGCCTTTAGTTTGCCTCACAGTCACATTCACAAGCTGTCAGATCACTTTGTTTGCAAGCTCATGAAGTAGATTTTCATTCAGTAACGATAGCCCAAAGTCAGCCTGGCGTTTGACCTTTTAACCCCCGACGCCCCACTCATCACAGATAACCACTCAACGCCCCCCGATGTGACGGGGCTGTCGGAGCGCTCCTCGCATCATACGGAGCGGCCCCAGGTGGCCTCGGTGCGAGGTGTTTCCCGGGGCTACAACCACCACACCAGCGTCATGGAGACTGCAGATGGTGAGTTTCTTACTTGCACACACACACACACACACACACACACACACACACACACACACACACACAGAGAAACACAGTCACCTCCCTTCCTCCCCTGCTGTCTGTCCCTCTGTCTTCTCCTTAGTCAGTCTGCCTGTCAGACTGGCACAAGCTGCTGACTGACCCTCTTGTGTTTCCATGGTAACACTGCACCTCTCCACCCCCCTTGAATAACGCTATGTTTCTACCTTGATGCCTAATAAAACACACTTGATAATGGCGACTAAGGGATATTGTTTCATTTGAGTCCTAAAAAGGAAAAGAAAATTCATCTTTGAGTCAGAGTTGTAAACCAAATTATCAGACGTGATTCACTTCTTGTCGTGTTGCTTGTGAATCAGTGCATAAAATTAACAGCCGCCAAACATCATTCCTCATTCAAACAGCACTGTCTAGTATGCACCAAATACTGCCAGCAGTTTCTACATGGGCCATCGCAGATACTGACAATTAGATGCTGTGCAGTGTAGAGATGGTTAACCAGTGAAGTCAGACCAAGAGGATGTGTCAGTGCGACGCATAAAACCTCGATGGAAGTGTTTTTTTCTTGGAATTACGTCAACTTGTTTCAGGATTTGCTTTTATATGTCATGTAACATGGGATCTACTTTTTTAAAAGGGGATCCGTTAAGATGTTTTTACAGTGTATGCACCAAGTTTATGGTCTTCAGAGAGTTGCCATAGATGACAATCTGGTCGAGCAGTCTTTAAAAGCAGCGCCAACGTGTTCCTGTCACCCTTCCATCTTCATTCATTCAACATCAGAGCTGAAATGCTGCTTTGAATTAATGTCCAATGTTTTTAACAAGCTATCAGCCAGAAAACTGGAACACTGCTTCAGCAGAGCTATTACCTTCCTGCCATCCAGCCTCTGTCATTAAGACCATGTGCGTTGTCTTGGTTTTCACTGCTAATAAATGCTAAACCAGCCCCCTCTGACTGACACATAAAGGGGAAGGGAGTTTTAAAAGATGTGAACAGTGACATTTTTATCCCTTCTGTTTGGCTGTTTGGTGCTCAAGATGCTTCAAACCCACTCTGCCTGTGCACGTTTTCCCACATAAGTCATTAAAAAAAGGACAAAAACTGCAAGAAAGCCTATCTTTGTTGTTATGGTACAACAACAGCAACAGTCTGTGTCTTAGCGCCTTATAAGCCTACTCTCAGCTTTTGTCTGGCTGCTGGTAGATTTCTCTATCACACTTTCACACGTTCACATTCACACACGAAGTTAGCAGGACTGTTTCATTGACATCCTGATGTGTCTCTCCTCCAGGCTGTGAGTGGAGAAGTGAAGGATCCCTCAGTTTAATGGATGGTATTTATAACTGTTCTTCCAACTCTATGGCAGTCTGCTATATGTGCACTCTGCTGCGTGTGCATTTGTGTTTGTGTGTGTTTCTGCCTCCGCCTCCACTGTCAGGTCTAGCACTTGTCCAAACCGTGTGTGTTTTCTAAAAATTTATGCAAAGCTACAGTGAATTCAGTCATTCGATTTTCTCTGTGTGTGTGTGTGTGTGTGTGTGTGTGTATGTGTGTGTGTTTGTACAGCTGAGTGTGTCGCAAAGGCTTTAGCATTTATAGCATCTTCAAACAGTATCTACCCTATATGCTCTTCATATAGAAAATGTTGGCACAGATTGCATGAGAGGAACTTTTCAGTGACAGGTGTAGCTATTCATTCAGGGTTTGTGAATAATTAACATGTTGACATACTTGTTTCTGCACTCACACTGAGACACTAAGACTTGTCAGTTTATGTTTCTCACTCCATTCTGTGACACAAGCCTGTTAGCCTGTAGCCACACAGTGGGTCCTTTGATGGCAGCCGTCTTGCACTGTTGCCTTTTTAATAACAACACATAGTTGGGAGCAGAAAACATGCCGCACAGTCACTATGATTCCATCTGGACTCTGTTACTGACACTTAAAGTGTCGGTTCCCTAATGGAGCATACAAACTGTGGTGTGATTGTGTCGACAAATTCCATGAAAGACCAAAACCAACACTTAATCCCACTAACAAGTATTGTCTGTGTATCCGAAGCCTGATATTCATAGACCTCAATTGTTGCCTAAAAACTATGAAAAACACAACAGTTAGCAAAACTTTTGTATTGGGTTACATGTTCATTTATTATAATAAACATATGCATCATAGTTTAACACATATGACGTAGCTCGTGTCGCAATAGATTTAAAGGGAAAGGATCGCCTCAGGTATGGGTTGCATTTTCCGATACCCGATCCATCTATTGTGATGATATCGGGGCCGATATTCGATCCAGATATCGGATCGGTGCGTCCCTAGAAACTATACACTATTCAGAATATGCAGAAACTGTTGAGTAGGCTTAAATAATAGCAGAACCTCTACAATATGTCACATCAACACAGACATTTTACCAAATACAAATATGTGCTTAAGTGGTTCCTACAGTTTCGGGCGTCGGTGGCTTATTGGTAGACCAGGCGCCCCATGTACAAGGCTGTTGCTGCAGCGGCCTGGGTTCAACTCCAGCCTGTGGCCCTTTGCTGCATGTCCTTCCCTCTCTCTCTCCCCCCTTCACACTTAAGCTATCCTATCATTTAAAGGCTAAAATGCCCAAAATATCTTAAAAAAAAAAAAAGTGGCTCCTACAGTTTATGAATCAATCCAACATTAATCTCTATAAACAGATTCTGCCAGGCGACGGGGCAAGATTTTGGTATCTGAAGTGCTCTGGTTTACGTTTGTAGTTCTTTGTAGTTTGAGTAATATTGACCAATCACGTTTGAACAGCAGGTAAAGAGGGGAAAACATTGGCTGAAACAGTTCATATCAAATGAGCTATTTTTGGCCAAAATTAAAAAAAAAATATATGCCTCCAGCTCCAAAGCATATTTGAGCCTGACAATGAAGGAAACACATCCGTTTCAGCCTACATTAGCCTATCAACGTAACTAAGAGGTCTAAATGAGCATTCGTTAACACGTTATACCACAAAGTGGCTCCATGTTGGGCTTTTTATGATTATTTGGTACTTTAACGTTGTACAAGATCAATGAAAGCAAATTAATCTGTCCACTCCCCATTAAGTTCTTTATTTTCCTCAGAGAGTTTTCATTTTTTGGATTTGGAATCCAAAAGCAACCCTATCTGGGGAAACTCAAGGCTAGACAACGCTATTGAGTTTCATTAAAATTTAGAGGAAGTAGGCGCCAGATCCTAGACATGTGACACACATATTAGTTGACGAAATGTTGAATATTTTTTGTATTATGATTGTTTGTATAGGCAGCAATTTTTTACAGATGGAGAATGTGAGAGTCACTTTAGGCCTACGACAATAAAAAAATAAAATGAAAATATTAAAATAACCATTATTCATTTCCATATATTTTTTCGTCAAAATGGCTCCATAGCTGCAGGTTGCCTACCCTTGGCCAAAATGCAATTTCAGAACCCATCTGCTGCTGTCTAATGACAAGTTGGCTTTAAAAAATGAGCTTTTTAAAAATGTATCTGCATGCGTTTGCGGATAATTTTAGAGATTAGCTGAAATGACCGGTGCACAGAAGGGAAGTCTTGGCCCGACAATCTGCTGGCTATACCTGACTTTCCAAAATATTGGCCCTCGTCCTGAAGAGCTTTATGGTCATCAGACTGATAGCCGATGTGTTCAGAGACTGGTTGAACATACACCTCCCTTTTTCCATAAACACTCACTAGAGCAACAGATGATAAGTCCTTAACTAATGCTCCTCTGTTTTAAATAATTTAAGATTAAAAACTGCAGTGCCCTGCTGTTATAAGAAATTACCTATTAAAAAGTAGTATGCAGTATATTGTGAACCATTTTGAAATAACTGCATCTTCAGTTGGAACAAATTAGCTTAGGGCTTAGATCCGCACACAGGATGAGGAAGTAAAAAATATGAAGAGATGGACTAATATGTTGTGCTTTTGGTCTTCCCATGGAATTTATTAACAACAAGAAAAATATAGAACAAGGCCGTCCTCTCTTTTTATGTCCATTTTTGTAATAGGCTTGGCTTGTTGGTAAGTACAGCTCTGTTTACTGAATATACAAAGACCTGGTGTGCCCCCCCCCCCCCCCCCCCCCCCCCCAATTAAACAAGAGTCAGTGTTGACTACAGTAATTTGATACTGAGGATGGATAAATTACGAAATCCGGAAAACGTTAATTATAGTCATCATCACAGGCTGGTCCTGGTTGGCTGTGATATTAATGATCATGGTGCTTCAGTGGGTGGGGTTCAGGCCCCTCAGATGTTGCCCTGTGTGTCTGGGGCTTTCTAATTGGCCCATCAGGTGCAGCGCTGACCCCCATACGTCTACTCCCAGTACATCTGTCCCTACATGAGGAGGCAGCAGAGTCTGTCTGAGCCGGGCTTATTATAGTAAGATGTATCAGGCAGGCAACGTGCAGCTGTGGCCTTCGTCTCCTGTGGCTGTCTGGAATGTCTGACACAGACCACCCCTCCCAAACTAAGTATGAATTCATATGGAGGAAATGATGTCCGATGATGATTATAGTCTGCACATACCCACATCCAAAATGTGAGGGGGATCTAACGGGACACCTCCCCTCTTCTCTCATTCTTAGTCTGTTGTTTCTCTCCCGTCCTGCTCCTCCATTCATGTTCCTATGTCTTTCCAAAGCTCCATGTCTTTGCCTTTTTGTTCCGGTTGAGCAATTTCAACATGCACATCGAATAACTTGCATGTATTTTGATCTGACTGAAGTATAGTTGGTTTTAGCCTCCCACAATTATGAATTTTGCAGAGCGTATGTGAAACAGACACCTTTTGAGACACCTCCTGAATCACTTACTGCAGGGAGGGCATCTTTGTTGCTAGGCAGCAGGCGAGGAGGCTCCTCATTTTCTGATTTATGTAGCCTGTGAGGTTTGTCGGTGATTTCAGAGACTATTTGGACTGAAAGACTGTAACCTTTGACCTCCAGGTGAATGTACAGGACCTCGAGGTCTGCTGTTTTGTCTTGCTGCAGTGTGAGTGACAGGTGTCCCATCAGAGCGCCACGCTGACCTTTTCTCTCTTCTTTTCTTGTCTGTCCTCCCTTCATCCATCCCCTTCTCTTTACTTCACCCATCTCTCAATCAATTTGTCTACATATCTATTTCCAACCCACATATGCTCCATATCTGTATTTCTCTCCATGTCCTTGTCTTTTCATGTTTATTTCTCCCCCTACCCTTTTCTTTTCATCCCCTCCAATCTCATTGTGTAGGTGTTCCAGTCAACAGTCGCGTCTCCTCCAAAATCCAGCAGCTGCTCAACACTCTGAAGAGACCAAAGCGACCGCCGTTGCGAGAGTTCTTTGTCGACGACTTTGAGGAGCTTTTGGATGGTAAGCCGGCCTGAAAGTAATTACATTGCTTCTATTAAATCAATAAATCATGAATAAAAGCATCCCTCTTTCTGCGGTGTGATGAGCATACTGATCAGAGACTACAGCAGTTAAAGGCAGTAGTTGATACAAACACACAAAGCTCTTTTGAGTGTGACAGCCACATCAGAGTTTTCCAGCTTCAGTATTGGTTATTTAATTGAATTCTTGTTGCAGAGATAAAAATGTCACATTGACCTCACCACGCCTCACAGATAAACAGTCAAGGTACGCTTTTAGATCAGTGGTGGTTATTTTGTCTCTTGGTGGAGCTGAGACCACCAGGTGTGCAGAGGGAGTGGTTAGGGGATAGAGAAACACACACATACACACACCCACACCCACACACACACACACACACACACACACACACACACACACACACACACACGCACGCAGTGGACCAGCCCTGTCCAACCATTTCCTCCATTCCAACCAGCCCGTCATGGGTTTTGGGTGGTACTCTGCCAGGCTGAATAAACACTGTGAAAATGAATAAGCGGCAGGAATAGTAATACATCAGCAGGTAATTGTAAAGCCTCCTTGAGTTTGGCACAGAAACTGTGGCATGGCAAGCCCCGGCGGTGCAGAAAAAACACACAGAGCTGAAATGGCAGCAGGCTTAACACTATCTGTTCCTGATAGAGGTATTTTATTTGGCAGGGGGACATCTTGCCAGCTTGGTAAAGCAGTTTTGAACTCCACTTACCAGAGAGTTAGGAGAGTGTGAGGGGAGCGGGAGAATAGTGATGGAGAGATGGGAGTCAAATCAAAGAGCAAGCGGAGTGTTTGGAGGGAAGGAAGATGAAGGATAAAGAGAGGAACCTTTGACTTTCAATAAGTTTCTCAGGAATTGGTATCTGAGGCAGAAAAAGACTGATAAGGACAGACCACAGCTCACATTTAAATCTCCACCTTTTCCTCTTCCATCACTACCATGTCAGTGTTTTTCAGTCCCCACACTCATTTAATTACCCTGCTGTCCTTTTGGAGAGTTTTATAATTCACAAATTTCTTTATATTCACTCCAACCAAAACCAGACACACACTGAACCTCCATTACACTGATGCCCCATTGTCTTCCCCATTCAGTTCAGCAGCCGGATCCCAACCAGCCAAAGCCAGAAGGCCAGCACATGAGTCCCTTGGAAGGAGAGCCTCTCGGGGTGGTCAACAACTGGCCTCCATCTTTGCCAGCAGCCTTACAGCGGTGGGGCACCACTCAGCCCAAGAGCCCCTGTCTGACGGCACTCGACAATGCTGGCAAGCCTGTCTACACACTCACCTATGGTAGGTATCAACTTATGTATGACTAGCTCAGCGTTTACAATCCAGATGGAGAACAATGTCACCTCTTGTCATCCATTCTTTGTGGGTTTTCCCTGCACAAATAATGGACAAGGAAGTGCCTGCGTCTGACTCTACATAACTTATTTAGTAACCTGCTGTTAGTCATAGCTATTATCTGTGTTTGTATGTTGATTTGAAAGAGGTTGTTAAATGAAATGAAATATTTGACACTTCTTGTTAACCTCTGTAGGTAAACTATGGACCCGTAGCCAGAAACTGGCCTACACTCTTCTTAACAAGCTGAGCACCAGGAATGAGCCTTTGCTGATGCCTGGCGACAGAGTAAGTCATGAGATATAACTGTGTTAAATGGTGGTTAGTTGTATCTTACAGTCCTTGTTGGATTTTAGACATTTGGCTGATGCTCCTAGAACGATATTCTTCTGATACTCCTTATTGCTCCCTTACAGAAGGCTGAATCTCAGTGCTCAATTTTCAACCAACAAGATCTCTCCAGATAATACAATATCACTACCTCGTTATAGTGATAAACCGCTTATATAGATCAAAACGCTTTGGACAGAATCATTCCTATACAAACGTTGTTCAAATAATTTGCTTGTATAAATCACGTTGTCAGCTGACAGTGTTCATTTTAGGTCTTTTAATACATAACATATGGAAAAACAATTTAAAACTATGGTTATTATATTTGTTTTACTTGACGCTACAATACTACAATACTACAATACTACAATACTTACTCACAGTAACCCGCCAGCTCCCAGCTAGCTACCTGTGGCTGCGTCTGCGTGCACATTGAAATCATGACGAGCAAAAGAAAGTCATTTTCTCTCAATAAAATCGCAGTCTCCTCCAAACTAAGAGCTGCTAGTAACTGAGATTGCAGCTGCCCTCGATAATGTCCGGTCATGTAATGTCCCCATAATGAACCAACTGTACTGTACTTTGATACAGTCAATAAAATTCAGTAAATGGCAAAGCTGTCTGTTTGATTACTTTATATTGATGTAATGAACATACAAAGTTCAGTTACAAAGAAGAAGGGAAAAAAATGGTTGTTCATTCATTAATTAATTAATCTATTTATTCATTTTGATTTAGGTTTCATGCCCTTTGTGGCCCATCCTACATGGGATTATGAGACAGGGTCGTTGCAGAACCACCGTCCTGTCTTGCATGTACAAAATAAATAATATAATTAGAAAAGAAACACAAACAAATTAAAAACAAAACGAAAACAACAACATCCCAAATTAAGTGTTCACATGAGAAACTACCAAACATTCAGGGGCGTCACAGTAGGGGGTAAAGTGGCACTGATTACTCAGACCCTCGATGGGAGGGGCGCCCTTGAAAAGCCTGTAATGAAATGTTTGGTTTTGTTTATGATTTTTATATTTCTGAGTAATTAGTGCCATAACTAAATTTAAATTGGCTGAATAAATCAGTTGACAGACTAAACTTTTAATTAAAAATAATGGAAGCTCTCTGAGGCCACTCTCACCCCTTCAAGGCGCAAAATGGTGTAGTCTGCCCCTTTCACGATCTGTCTCTAAATGCAACTAAAGCTGAGCACGTGACTTCTTTTGTTGTGGGAGCACGGATAAATGCTTTCATGTCTTTCCCCAAGAAGCTGAAATTGGGGTTCCAAAAGTAAATGTTTTATTTCGCAACTTGACCACAATACTTGCTGCACACAATGCCCCTGGGAACTGCCCAACATCGTACCATAACCTATTGTGTGTGTGCTACACCTGCAGGTTGCACTTGTTTTCCCCAACAACGACCCAGTGATGTTCATGGTGGCCTTCTACGGCTGCCTCCTGGCAGAGCTGGTACCTGTGCCTATTGAAGTGCCGCTAACCAGAAAGGTAAAGGCAAATCCAATCTCTTGGGAATGTGTTGACATTTTTAACGTCTGCGGTTCTACATAAACAGTGCAGCGCATTAGTGACCCCTGCTGGACATTTGACCCCTAATTGAGACCCTTGAGAGATGTGTTGTTTCAGTGTGGATGTTTATGATTTATTCCAGCATCCCAGAATATGTGTTTGTACCAAAGAACATCTTGCTTCTTGATAAAATGTTGCAGGATTACAACCCCAGCAGCAGCATTATCTTTTATGTATGTTCTAATTACAGAGTGTTATGATGCATCACTGTTTCCAGCACATCCATCAGCTCAAACTGAACCAAATTCTCCCAAAATTAGTTACACAGACTGAATATTAATGCCTGCTCTTGTTTGCCCTTTATAAGCATGCTGTTGGAAGACGCTGTGCTGTAATTAATGAGATTTGAGTGAGGTGAAATGATGTGTAATTTCAGTCAAAATATTAGATCACAGGCCAACTGTTCTCTGGAGTCAAACTCATTCGCTCGCATTCTTCCTCCCTGTCTCTTTCAATCCTTCTTGCTTTTTCTGTCTCCTTTTTTTTCTCCTCTTCCTTTTCTTTACCCAGCCAGTATCTCACATTTTTTTCTCTCTTCTGCACAGTATGGTTTGCACAGCACGAGTCTGGCTGTAAGCTCATTTGCACAGCCAATCAAATATGAGTGAGTGCGTGTCAGATCTTGGGCTTCATTCCTGCTACGATTGGGCTTTGATGCTCGGCAGTAGAGTTTTTAATAGTGATTGGCCGTCACTCTGCTTTCTTACCTGCTGCTTCTTTGATGTGCGATGCTCTGAGGTTTCGTCTTCAGTCATCGTCGTTCTTTTTCTCCCTGTTACAATTCCCACACTCCCTCAGAGCGTCTTTTCTCAAAGCTCTCATGCTCTAAATTTTATCATTCTTAATAGTGGATTGTTGTATGACAGGCGTGGTTTGCCTTAGTTTTTGCTTGTATGAACTTCCATTTTTCCTCCTCTTTGGTCCCCCAGGATGCAGGAAGTCAACAGATAGGTTTTCTGTTGGGCAGCTGTGGCGTCACGTTGGCACTGACCACTGATGCTTGTCAGAAAGGCTTGCCCAAAGCACAAACCGGGGAGGTAGCCACTTTCAAAGGTACAGTCTGTTTTATTTTTCATTATGACTGTATGTATTATGTAGTTTCATTTGGTTTGAACTGACTTCATGTCTCTGTGTCTGCAGGTTGGCCGCGGTTGCTGTGGTTTGTGACAGATGGAAAACATGTCGTAAAGCCTCCGAAAGACTGGCATCCTCCGATACGGGAAGCAAGTAATGACATAGCCTACATAGAGGTAGGTGCAAATTCACTGATGTTACCAATTCGAAAAAATATATTTCTCCTATGTTTTTTGAGCTACTAATCATTTGGTTCTAGGGCATTCAGGTGTGCTGCACTTTAGTAGGCATCATACTCCCAAAAACTAGTTGATTAATTGCGGGAGATATATCATACTGTTTTTACCCAATAACAATGATCAGCTGTCATCACAAAGAAGCCCCCAGAACAGCACCAGCCTTTGAAGCCAATTTGACATAGTGGCCAAATTGTGGAATCACAACTTCGGGGTCCATCATGTGATGCCATGAGGACCAAAAAGACTTACACTGTGAAAGAGACATCTGTAAATCAGTGGATACATTTTTTTTTTGAACATCACAACCCTTGAGAAATGACTTGTTCGCAATTGGAATTGATCCATTTGGTCTGATAACATTTTGAAAGTCTAAAAGAGCAGCATGATAAAATCATTTTATCTCTCAGCCGCATAGATGTTTAATAATACCTAGATACTGGACCCCGAGATAGCTCCTACGCAGGTCAATTGAATTGCTCACCTGGCACATACACCAAAAAAAGTTGCTAGCTTCCAGGTTTACTTCTGCAATATGCGGCCCACTGAATATGTGCAGTAGTGTTTCTTCCACTGGCACCACCTGTGAGTTCCTGCTCGGCTCATAGACTTTTCATTGTGATGACATCATCTTACTATATAATGACGAAAACTCTGTGTGTGGGTGTTTCTGTCTGTGTGTCTGTTCCATGTTTTTCTCCTGACTGACTTGGTCAATCCATGTGAAATTTGGCACAGTGGTAGAGGGTCATGGGAGGATGCAAATGAAGCAATATTACATCAATTGGCCAAAAGGGGGCGCTATAGCAACCGATTGAAATTGCAAATTTTGAATGGGCATATCTCATTTCCCGTATGTCATAGAGACATGAAACTTTGCACAGAGATGGATCTCCTCATGACGAACAAATTTGCCTCAAGAACCCATAACTCCCGGTCATACAGATTTTCTGCCATTTTGAATTTTTTGAAAAACACTTAAAATTAATCTCTTCCTAGGAAGTTTGACCGATCTGCATGAAACTCTGTGAACATAATCTAGGGACCAATATCTAAAGTTCCCTCTTGACAAAAGTTGGAAAACTTACTAAAACTGAGCTTCTATAAGGCAATGAATATTGCGGAGGGCGTGGCTCATCACATAAAGGTGTATAACATCTCAGGGGTTTCACCGATCACCACTTAACTTTGTAGGCATATGACCACACATAATCTGAGGGGACCCCTCAACAATTCAGAATGCAAAGAGTCATAATTGACCTTGTTTACAGCCAGAGGTGTCCTGTCAATAGTTTTACAGATGTCTCTTTTATAATGATGGCCTATGGGGAAAATACTTTTTGGGCCATGATTTTTTGTTGCTGCGATACCAGTAGCTACTGGAAAAAATTAGAAGCAAAGCTGAGCTGCGTTTCTGGTGGCCCGCTCAGTCAGCAAAAGTCTCTAGTGTACTTACTCCGTGGGCCTAAGAATGCGGAAGATCCCGATAATTTCATACCTGGGAAGGGATTTTTTTTTTGTCCTCATGCTCCATTGAGCAACTTTCATAGGAATGAACAGGGGCCAGGATCTTAATCCAGTTTTCTTTATACATCCAAAAAGGTCTTTATATATCCTAAAAAGGTCTCAAATGCAAAAAGGAAAAGGTTAACTAATGTAGGCGGGACCCACCTCGGGGCTTTGCAGAGTCCTTGATTGGCTCTGTGAGGCTGTTTACAAATGAGCCGCGATCTGATAGGACTAAACCTGGAGTAGGCTTGTCTAAGCTGGGTACACTGTTTGAATGCAAAGGCAATGTGACTGCATTTTTGCAGTATCTAAATACTTCAAATTCAATTTATATAACACGGCATAATGTAGAAAATGATAAGTCAAACAAAGCTATGTTTAACAACAACTAAATTTTTGTCCACCTTCTGTCGTTAGAAGGCCATCTCAACTCACAGCTATGACTTGACAACAACAGCTACACACAGAGCTCCCAGCTGCATATGTTTAGATGTATTGTGTCTCATTTATTGGAATGACAGTGTTCAAATGTTTTTCCCATGTTTCCTACATCCAGTACAAAACCAGCAAGGAGGGAAGCACCATGGGGATCACAGTGTCCCATTCAGCCATGCTGGCTCACTGTCACGCCCTCACACAGGCCTGTGGCTACACTGAAGGTGAGGAGGACATTCTGCATGTACCCAAGTATCCATTACTTCATTTTTCTGTGTTTTCTCCATCATTCATTCTCCTGACATGGAGAAAGGCATCCAGTTAGTGGTGTTAGCATATGCTACAGAGAGAAGAGGGGTAGGGACAGACCACTAAACCACATGTAGTAATGATTAAATGTAGGAATATGAATAAAAAAGTTGGACATTAGACTTGATTTAGAATCGCTGTGTGGTTTTGTTCTTATTTTTACCACAGGTTAACCAAAGCAGAGCACTTACATCAAATGAACCTAATTTAAAATCTATGATATTATAGAATTTCCCCTTCACATTGCTCACAGATCCTATCAGGGCATAATTACAGTCTAGTTTGATAAATGTAGCTGCTCAGCTGGTTGAGTTTCTCTCTGAGAACGTAAGGCACCTCCTCTCCTCCAGTGTCCCAGTTTTGCTCTAAATAACTCCGAACTGCACGAGCAGGCCCTCGAGACTCTCCGGATCTGTTTCTTAGTTTGGGCTTCTCTCAATCCAGTACTGCTGCTAGTTGTAGCAGTACTGGCTTCTCTCAATCCAGTACTGCTACAACTAGGATTTACTCATCATTACAGAACTTTCTTTGTGTTAAAAAGTACTGTGATGATGTGCGGTTGAGCTGGTGAAGAATATAAATGTCAGATTAAATGTTTCAAACTTTAACGTTGGCAAAATCTCCCTTTTTGATTTGCAGCTGAGACCATAACCAACGTCCTGGACTTCAAGAGAGAAGCAGGATTATGGCATGGTGTCCTTACTGTGAGTGGTTTTGAATCATCCGGTGAAGCTAATAGGGGGATTACGTAATCCAAAATAGAATAGATCCTCATTTTGCTGATAAAAAGTGTAATTTATTCTACTGACTTTATCAATATGTTAACACATCAAACTAATGAAGTCCTGAGGGGCAGAAACATCTTGTCTTATTACGCAAGAGTTTGAAACCTGCAAAATTACTTTGTATCTTCCAACACAGTCATTAACAGGTTTCAAACATGCGTTTAAATTTATTTACAGCTCATATATCACCTACTGTTACACGTTTAAATTCCTAAAATGACACCACAGTAGCACAAACAATGCTTTATTTATACTCTTGGTGGTAAGTGATAAAATCTTGCCATGACTCGCAGCTTGTTTACACTGACATCACCTACTTTTGAGAAACTTTGGTGCTTACGCAATGCTTGTCTGTTCTCATGGCAGAGTGTCATGAATAGGATGCACGTGATCAGCATTCCTTACTCCCTGATGAAAGTCAACCCCCTCTCCTGGATACAGAAGGTGCACACGTACAAAGGTGAGGGCCATTCAACCCTGACGTTCGTCACTTAACACTGTAACTCTGCTTGCTGCATCTCAGCACTATGAAGAGAGATTGAGAAGAGAGACCTAATTGTAGGGTAAATTTATTTATGCAGTTATCATACTTACAAAGCAACACACGTACATGACAGTACAGGTTATTCATAAGATGTTACTTTGAGAAATATGCTTTGGCAGCTTGCTTGATGGTGAATGATAGTTTAGCCAACATGTTATTATTGTTTTTAGAGTCTGTAAGCCAGAGTGAGTCTGTTTCTCGTCACAGCTTTGAGTCCCAGTGCACATTTGACAGGGGAGGATGGATTGAAGCAATAGTTTGTTGGACTCATTGATTTGTAGTTCAATTGAATCATCCCACTGGAGGTCGAGGACAGAAGGCTCGCTGTGCTGAATAAAATTCATCTCCTTTCTGGTCCGAGCTTTGCTGAGTCACCTGTTGGCAACTGAGTCAGACCGTGCTGCTATTTGCTGTCAGATTTCGTGATCTGTGATTGGCTGTCAAGCTGAATAACAGAGGCGTTGATTGGGCGATTCTGTTGTGAAGCCTGTCTCTTTGTCTTAATGTCCCCTTTGCACAGCTCGGGTGGCGGTGGTGAAGTCGAGGGACATGCACTGGTCTCTGTTGGCCCAGAGAGACCAGAGAGACATCAGCCTGAGCTCGCTGCGCATGCTCATCGTAGCTGACGGAGCCAACCCATGTGAGTCCACCTGCAGATTCTCATTTAATAAAATAACCTCTATAAACACCCTGAAGCCACAAGAGATTATCATTGATTCATTTTGTTTGTGTTTGCTTGTATATCTGTTTGGCTGGTTCTGTATGTGTATGTGTGTGTGTGTTTGTTATCACAGGGTCGATATCCTCCTGCGACGCCTTCCTCAACGTGTTTCAGGCACGTGGGCTGCGACCTGAGGTGATCTGTCCATGTGCCAGCTCTTCAGAAGCCATGACTGTCGCCATCCGCAGGTCAGCTGCTGTTACTGCACTACAGAAGAACAAAAGCAACCTGCCACCACTTCCCCTTACTGTGATATTTAATCACACTCTGTTTGCAACATTAGGCACATTCTGCAGGCAAAGGGGGGAGATTTGTGCTTCTTGAACACAGAGACGAAGTGTAGGATGTCACAGCTTTTTGCTGATCACGGGGCTCAGTCCTGGAGAGGGATTAGGATGACAGACAGACTGAAAACACATGCTTCAAATAGGCTATTTTTAAAATGAGAAATGCCTTTTTTTTGAGAGTCTAGAAATGTTGTAATGGATCCAGAGTCTGTATCTTACAGATTCACATGGTTGTCGTATTCTGCCAAACCCAAATGCTTCTTTTTAAGCAGCCAGCACTGCTGCAATAAAGACAGTGTACTCAGGCAGTGGATGTCTCAGTCTGAAGCTATGCACTGCCATCTGAGCCAAGATAGAAGTGGCATGCTATGTGTTGTTTGCATGAAGGACGGAGGAGATGAAGAGGAATAAGTGACAAATGTCTAACTGAAAGTCTTGTGTGTACATGTCTATGTCCTGCAGACCTCCAGAGATGGGTGTTCCTCCTCCAGGGAAGGCGGTGCTGTCTATGGGCGGGCTGAGCCACAGTGTGATCCGTGTGGACACAGAGGAGAAACTCTCTGTCCTCACAGTGCAGGATGTGGGACAGGTCATGCCTGGAGGTAGAGTACACTATGCTGCCACTAATGAGTAAAATAGTGAAGATGAAGATGAAAGATAGATTTTATTTTGACACCGCTCTGTGTCCCTAGAGAATGTAGGTGATATCACCAAAAATGAAAACTAAACTGAAGGGTTTTTATTTCCACTTGTGTAAACGTTGATACTAAAATATTAAGCAATAAAGCTTTAACTATCATATTCATTTGCAACACTAGCATCGTTTTATGTCTATCTGCTGATGTTGATGTGTGAAGGTGTTTATGACTGAACATTAGGCAGCTTAAAGGCCTCTTGTTTATACTGTAATATAACATTTAAAGCAGAATTACAAAGCACATTAGGGATAATAAGAAATGATAATTTATCCAATTATGCTGCTAATGTCTGTAAACAGTATGAGCAGCTTAAGTGAAAGCCAACCGCAGTTTTGTCCCCTTATGTTTCACCTCGCTGTATTTGCCTTTATTTGGCGCTATGTCTACAAATTTCATAGTCTTCTCTTCCTCTTATGGTCTGACAACTGGTCTCAACCTGTTTATTAAGTCCTGACTTCACCTGCGTGCTGTGCTCAGGAACATCCAGAACACAGCAAAATAAGAAAATACCTGCAGAGGGCAGAATCTCTGCATGAATAGAATCCTACTTTTTAACTAATAACTAGTAACTTTTACCTATTGTTTTTTTTTTTTTGTTCCTAATGTCCCTCTCTCCTGTCATCATTGTGTGTCCCCAGCTCTGGTTTGTGTGGTGCGGGTGGAGGGGACACCCTATCTCTGTCAGACAGATGAGGTTGGAGAGATCTGCGTGAGCTCAGGTAGCACGGGTGTAGCTTACTACGGGCTCCCAGGCATGACCAAGAACATCTTTGAGGTCAGTGTCTTATGTCTGGAACTGTTCAGGTGTGAGAAAATTAAGCTATTTAAATATTTATTTATGTGTAACTATTAACTTTGCATAACATTCATAACCCTGTTTGCGTAATTGCTGCAGGATAAAATTTAATCTTTGACATGAAAAAGACTGAAGATGAGATGCATGAAAAGAATTCAACTAATTGTTTATGAATACATTTTCAAAATAATGTTAGCTAAAACTCTGACATACTCAGTTTGTGCTTTCCCACCATTGTTTTACAGTCCTCATCTTTAAGTGCAAACAGCCCACTCACAATGATTTATTGCCAAAATAATCCCAAGTACTTCCATGCACCTCCTTATGCAGAGTTATTTTAAGTCGAGGCAATGGAAAGTTTTGTCCTTCATCCATGGATGTGTTGTTTGTATTGTTGTGTCTATTTGCAGACCATCCCTGTAACATCATCTGGGATTCCCATCAGCGACAGACCATTCACCAGAACTTCACTGCTGGGCTTTGTGGGACCGGTGAGTTCCACCTCATTAATATGCAGTTTTTAACCTTACTTTATTTGATGTCTGTCTTACAGCACTAAGATAACCCTGTTTTAAACATGTGTTGTGATATGCTGTGAGTTTGGCAGCGTATTCTACTTAAGGACATAATCTTCTTTTTGAGTAGACTTAATTTGTCATAAATTATTAATCTGTGATATTCATTGTCTTATCTTTTTTAGAGTTTCAATTTTACTCAACCTGCCTCTGTCCCAGGTAAAGGGTCAGTTCACTCAAAAAGATTAAGATAAGATAAACCTTTATCAAACCTCAGAGGGGAAATTCGGTTGTTACAGCAGTGCAACGACAGCAATAGAAAGTAAAAGAATAAATGATAAAAGAGGCATATGAAAAACTAAACTAAAATAAGAATAGAATCATAGATAATCGAAAACTATACAAGAATATATGGAGACTGAAATTGTATTGCAGCAAGTATATGTTAACAGTGTACACCAGAAATTCATTAAACAATTAAATTAATTCTACATAAAATTTCAAAAAAATAATTTAAAAAAATACAATTAAATTTATTTAAAAAATCACAAAGACTTACCTTAGAATTATTTAGCTACCAGAATACAGTAATATCTGTTTTATTCTTTAAATATTTGAGATATACAGTATATCAAGCCTGTGAGGCTTCTGCTGGGATCTCAGTAAGATTTTCAGATTTTCAATAACATTTCAGCCAGAACAAATATTTGAATAAAATTCAACTGCACGGTCTTTCTAGAAACAATATCCCGGTTATTCTGAATTATTCACAGACCTCTTTGTGGATGGTTTTCATAGGAACTATTTCGCCAGAGTGTACTATATGAAAACTGTCCACTTAGATGTCTGTTTATGTCGAAACTACCTTTAGTTGTTTGACGAACACTGTCTGGTGTTCTTACACTATAAAATCAGCAAAGGAGAGATTCATATTTTATGCAACTGACCTGCCATGAGATCTGTCACAAGCTAAATTATAACAGGGCCAGATCACAGAGAGTGGAGCAAAAATTAGGGGGAAAAAAAAAAGGTTTATCATGAGTCGAAAATGGTGGCGGTTCTCATTCCCGCGCTAGAAGTACATTTTCACTGTACCGTTACCTCACGTGCTAGTTGTATAGACGCACGCTGTACTTTAGATTAGGATAAATGTCAAGACTGACCCATCTAACAGTATGTGCTTTGTTTCCCACCAGGACAGCCTTGTGTTTGTTGTGGGGAAGATGGATGGCCTCATGGTGGTCAGTGGACGGAGACACAATGCCGATGACGTGGTTGCCACAGCACTGGCAGTGGAGCCCATGAAGTTTGTGTACAGGGGGAGGTAAAGAGGAAGCACACACATCTACACATATCTCATATAGAGAGTCGGCCTAATCTGCACTGTTTTCTACCACTACTGACAGTCTTGCAAGACAGCAGCTACTGAGCAGTTTTATGGATGAGTAAAGCCCAGCTGCAACAGTGTTTTCTGTTTATGTTGTGTGCTCCAGGATAGCAGTGTTTTCTGTGTCCGTGTTGCGTGACGAGAGGATCGTCGTTGTAGCAGAGCAGAGGCCAGACGCCTCTGAGGAGGACAGCTTCCAGTGGATGAGTCGCGTCCTTCAGGTGCTCATTGTGACCTGTCTTTTTCACATCTTGTCACTTAGGTACAGATAACTGAAGGACTGTACCCATGGGTTTGCATATTTTATTTTAGTAATTGCAAATCAGGTATACTTAGTTAATATTACTCCTGACTTTACTGTTTTCTACAGCATGTCACAAGGTTTTAGGCTGATTTTCTTCCTACAAGGAAATCATCATCGGTTTTTATGTTGGTTCGATATAAAAAAAACAACTTCAGATCATTCAAATTTCCTTGAGATTATGTTGTTGTGGATGTTAGAGGTTCATTGCATGCATTAAAAAGGTGCTAAAGGATGCTATCGCTATGCAGCATGAGGATACAAAATCAGTCAAGCCTTGTTGAATGCTTTGGAAAATTGTTATTAGAAAAGTGTAGTGGATTTGAAGTTAATGAGAGTGAAGATTACACAGCCACTGCTAGGGTCTCTGAAAGTACCAGTCAAAGCTGACAAAATGACCATATTTTTGTCTTAATTTGGTTTATTTTCTAATCTGCCTATGCATATTAAACAGATTAGTATAAAAACAAGAATAACTGCAGATGAAAACATCCCCTAATGTATGGTGTTTACTAAAAAGAACAGAGAACTGCGGAAAAAATCAAAAACATCAAGCCCCTAGTTAGTTTTTATTGTAAAATTAACTTTCTCTGATTCACTTGACAGCTTTGCTGATGTCCAGTTAATCAGTTGAGGTATCAAGCTGACAGAACATTAGACAGCTCAAAGGCCTCTTGCTTATATTGCAATGTAAAATTTAAAACTACATCACAAAGCACTTTTTTGACGATAAGAAATACTAATTCATCCAATTAAAAAGTGAGATTTGGCTAGAATTAGGGCTGGGTATTGTTTAAAGAATGGTGATACCACTACCCTTGAAGAGATACTGACACCTATAGAGTACTGTTATTGTCCCTTTAAAGGGCCAGTGTGTAATATTTGGCATGGTTTATTGTCAATCTGAATCTGAATCTGAATATTCTACCCATTAATATGTTTATATAAGTGTATAATCGCTATAAAATAAAATTCGTTTGGTTTTCGTAGCCTTATAATTATGCTTTTATATATATATATATATATATCAAGGGCTTTGCTTTAGAGAGGTCGCCATCTTGCGCCGCCATGTATGTACAGCAGACCGATTGGACAATCCAGCCACCCAGAGAACGCATTTCGCATGTATAAATGAACCAACAAAGACAGCGGGAGGAAGGAAGAAGGAGGGGGAAACAGCAGAGTGTTAGTAGTTTGTCGATAGAGAGTAGTGAAAAGTTTTTTTAGTTATAAAGTTTGCGAATGGACCACACTTACCACGCAACAGGAGAGAATGAACCCGAACCGTCATCTGCGAGGAAAAGAAGACGCAACTTCACTCCTTGTGATGCACTCTCTGCGGCGCTTTTCCTCCTGGTGATATATCTCCCCAACGATGGCAGCAGTAGCACCGAATCCCATTCTGTGCATTCAGCCTCTGTTCTCGCCCGCTCAGCATCAAACACATGGAGTTCCTCATCTGTGTGCTCCGGCTCAAACAGGTATGGCTCTGAGTCTGTGTCCGCTACAAGAAACTCTTCAAAATCGCGTTCAAAGTCGTCCATTGCAGCTACTATAGTCCGGAGATATTGCTAGGCTAAATAAACAGCTGAGCTCTGTTTACAGGCTACGCTGTCAGTCAGTGTGCGGGCTGGAGGTGAGCAGAGAGGGGAGGGGGGTCCCCACTTAGTACGGTAAACGAGTATGTGTGTAAAGTTATGAAGTGTGTGTGTGTTACGCTAGAAGAGTCAGAGTTTTGGAGTGTTACTGGAGTTTCTGGAGTGCTCAAATAAACTGGCCTTTTCCCCGAACGCTCCTCTGGTCTCCTGCTCGTGAGGGATTCATTACAATATCGTAACATGGTTTAGATTTCTAAATAAACATACACCTCATCGCTAGATAGACCTACTACTGAAAAACTAGTGCGCAAGGCTTTTTGTCCCTACGAGGCCACCGTCATTTACCCGATGGGAGGGGTGAGCGAGTGAGTCCTGCCATCTAGAATTTGACCACTGATGTCACTGTTTTCAACCCATTTTACACACTAGCCCTTTAAGTCCCAGCTGCAGCTGAAAATAAATATGACAACATTTTTTGTCATTATTTTCATGACATATGCATATAAAGGAGATTAATATAAAACAAGAATAAATGCAAATGAAAACTGGATGATTTACAGATTTGCTGATCTCCTTCTCTTCTCTGTTTTGGCATTACTGGTGGATTTCCAGGCCATAGACAGCATCCACCAGGTCGGGGTGTACTGCCTGGCTCTGGTGCCTGCCAACACGCTTCCTAAGGCGCCCCTGGGCGGCATCCATATATCTGAGACCAAACAGCGCTTCCTGGAGGGCGCATTGCACCCCTGCAATGTCCTCATGTGCCCTCACACATGTGTCACCAACCTGCCCAAGCCAAGACAAAAACAGCCAGGTAGACCACCACATGTTGCAGCATGGATCAGGTTTAGATACAAATGTAGCAAGAGGACTTGTCTATGTTGTTTTTTTATTTCTGTGTTTTTATTTCTGTGGATATAAATGTTTACTGAATGTGGTTCTGCTGGACAGAGGTTGGTCCTGCTTCCATGATAGTGGGCAACCTGGTGGCAGGAAAGAGGATAGCACAGGCCTGTGGGAGAGACGTGGCCCAGCTTGAGGACAATGACCAGGCACGTAAGGTAGATAGTCATCCTCATTTCACCCACTCATCACCTCCGCACATACGCAGACACAGGTAAGGATCCATACTGGTGGGAGTGGAATCTGAAACACATGCAGCTGATGGAGAAGACTTCCTGCTGTCAGAGCTGTCTGAATGAACGTCTGAATGAACGCTGTTGTGTAATTCAGATTCCACTTTCACCATGCATTGCTCCCATTTCTCTTTTCAGCTTCGCATACATATTCATACAGATACATTAGCGATTCATGATCATCTCAGTTTGTGTCTGTCTTTACTGAGTGTTACTCTCATTTCTCTGTAGTTAAATGTTTCTGTCTCTATCCCCTTTAGTTCCTGTACATACAAGATGTGCTGCAATGGAGAGCTCAGGCCACTCCGGACCATCCTCTATTCCTTGTTCTCAATGCCAAGGTACTGGCTTTCATCATGGCATATAGACTTTAGATTTGCCATGGCAATCTGTATTGTGACATAGTTAATTTCCTGAAAATTAGGTTGAGAAACTGTGAATAGATAAAACACTTAGATAGTTACATCTGTTCTGGTTGATTCAGTTCATTTATAAACTGACAAATGATGGCACATAAAGGCATTGATGCAAACTATGAATACAACAGGAGACATTAGAGTGAAACACTACCTTGATAGAAATCTCTAGTGGTTGATTAATCATAAGGAAGACGACCATTTTCTTCAACTTAAAAATGATCTTGTTGTCTTAAGAAATCAGACTTTGGTTTCTCAAGAATTGACATGAATTAGCACTTCATCGCGAGAAAATGAGCTTTATCGGCGTAAAAAAAAAAATGCAAGTATGTCCTTTCTCGGCTTCCGTATGAATGAATGTTACATGTTCTTATCTTTTGCTCCTCAGGGCACAGTGGCGAGTACAGCCTCCTGTCTGCAGCTGCACAAGCGAGCAGAGCGGGTGGCTGCAGCACTGATGGGACGCCTCAACACTGGAGATCATGTAGCACTCGTCTACCCACCAGGTAAGGGATGCTGCTGTGCTACTTTCAGTTATTTTCTTGAGTGTAACAACTTTGTCTTCACTTTCCCTTTCTTCAGATTGTAAGTCTGTCTATTAATCAAAAGCACAGAGCAGAAGAAACTCAATAAAGTTCTTGATATTATTGTAGAACTTATTCTTTAAATAACACTTTAAATATAAACATTTATGTGCAGGAATCGACCTGATTGCCACCTTCTACGGCTGCCTGTACGCTGGCTGTGTGCCAGTTACTGTCAGACCCCCGCACCCTCAGAACCTGGCGACCACCCTGCCCACCGTCAAGATGATTGTTGAGGTAACTAAAAAGGCTAATTGAATCCCTCTCTGCACAGTTATTGCAAACATTGAACCTGGTGAAAGTATAGTTTAAGATACAACAAATGACATCAGCTCTGTTCTGTGCAGGGGTGCAATTTGTGTGAATAATTAAAGTCATGTAATATATATATGTAGTAATACTGTAGTATCTGTGGGTTAAAGGTCAGTAAGTCGGTGTGTATCCTGACCACTCAAGCAATAATGAAGCTGCTGAAATCCAAAGAGGCTGCTGCTGCTGTGGACATCAAGAGCTGGCCCATGGTGCTGGACACAGGTACATTATACACACATACCCAGCACAGTTTTTGTTCTCATGTTTCCACCAAAGAGTAGATTTTTAAGTAAAGAAAATAACATGGTCCAAGTTTGCTTTAAAAACACTTCCTCCTTTCCCTCTGCTCATCCACCAGATGATCTCCCCAGGAAGAAGAGTCCGCAGATGTACAAGCCTCCGACCCCAGAGATGTTAGCTTACTTGGACTTCAGCGTGTCCACAACAGGAATCTTAGCAGGGGTCAAAGTATGTTCAATGTTGGACTCACGTGAGCCATTTGGGTTCTTAAAAGGGTGTAGGGTGTCATGCTGGGATGCTACCGTCTGTCTTTGCTCCCATTAGCAGCCAAAGCTCAAGCTCAAAGAGTTGTTTTTAAGCTGAATTTTGCTCCAGGATCCAGTGTTGATGCATCATTTGTGTCTCTGTGTCCTCTAGATGTCTCACGCTGCCACCAGTGCCTTGTGTCGCTCCATCAAATTGCAGTGTGAGCTCTACCCTTCACGGCAGATCGCCATCTGTCTGGACCCCTACTGCGGCCTGGGCTTTGCCCTCTGGTGCCTGTGCAGGTAAACCAGCAGCTCTGGTCAAATGAATGACAGTGAAATCATCAGTGTTAAAGATATACTATGTAAGAATTGTCGGTTACTGTTTGTAAACACAGCATTAAACTTGGATCCTCCTCCCTACACTGCAAGCTACTGTACTGTTGTAGGAATGTTACATTTGTTGTTATGGAAAAGCCGATACTTTAGTAAGGTAACTGAGCTAAATCACCAGCATCTACCTGTGTAACAGAAAACAGGCTCTTCATCTCCATCCTCTCCTTCGGCGCTCGCCAGTTAAAGTGAAAGCCAACCCCAGATTCACTCTCGTTTTGGAACAAGCTTTGTCCACTTGGCGTTTTGCCTCGCCATATTTGTGTTTTTTGCGCTGTTGTGTCTGCAATATTTGTAGCTCCCTCTTGGATGTGTGCTTCTTACAGTCTGGCACCTTGTCCCAACCTCACCTGCATGTGGTTATTAGCTGGCGGCAACGTGCCCAAGAGTGTCCCTAACATGGCAAAATGAGAGGAAAATAAGAAAATACAGGCAGAGGGCAGAGTCTCTGCAGATAAACACACCACCACACACTTCTAGTGGGTCATAGGTGATGACTGAGAGGGATTATTGTTGTATGAGTCTGTATATTTTTTTAGGAAAATCCTGCATAGTATATCTTTAAAAAGCCTGTGATAGTGGCTAGAAAAGCCAGTGAGTTCTTTTCTCTTAGAGCCTTTTTTCTCCATGTCGTCCCACTCAGCCTCTCTCATGTATCTCTTCTTTATTTCAGTGTGTACTCGGGCCACCAGTCGATCCTGGTCCCCCCTCTGGAGCTGGAGAGCAACGCGTCTCTGTGGCTTGCTGCAGTCAGCCAGTACAAAGTGCGAGTCACCTTCTGCTCGTATTCAGTCATGGAGATGTGCACCAAGGGCCTGGGTTCGCAGACAGAAGCACTGCGGGTCAGTTTGTCTCTTCAGGTGTTGAGTGGTGTCATGGGGGAAGCAACAAACTACAACATTTTCTTCCATAAAATTTAAGGGTTTTCTTCAATTACTCCTTTTCCCCGTGGTGCTGTTGCCACAGCGCCGCGATTATGGAGACAAAATCGGGGTCCTTGGGGGTGAAACACTTCACTCCTCTGTATCTGTGTGCTGATTACTGTCTGCAGCACTTGAGACTGGGATTTCTTACAAGTCATGTCCATGGTTTAATGAGTAGAATCTCTCTAATAAAAATGTTCTATTCATATGAGAATGTAACCATTACATTTCTCTTGTCAGCTCCTAGTTTACATGCACCCACAGTCATCTTTGCAAATTGAGAAAAAAGGTTACATTATTAGCATAATTGCAGGGTATTTTCACACAATTTGCACGTCATTTTTTTACTGAACCAGCTCTTCTATTTTCCATCTCCAGCTGCGAAATGTGAACCTGTCTTGTGTGCGTACGTGCATGGTGGTAGCAGAGGAGAGGCCCCGCATTGCACTCACTCAGTCCTTCTCTAAGATCTTCAAGGACTTGGGGCTTTCACCACGCGCAGTCAGCACTACCTTCGGCTGCAGGGTGAATGTCGCGATTTGTTTGCAGGTAAGCAGCTGAAGGATGAAAAAGGGACGAGGAGGAGGAGGAGGGTTCAATGTTTTAGGGGCGACACTGTTCATGAATCTATACACGTATTTAGATAAACATCCAAGAAATCTTTGAAAAGTGCAGGATTGGCAACACTTTCAAAGAGTGACTGTTGGTGATGTAATCCAAGTGGTTTGATAAAAAAAATGAAGCTTGAGGTGAAGGAAAATGTGTAAAACTTCATATTTTATAGATGTAAGGTGGAACGATGGCAAAAACACCATGCACTGAGTCTGAGTCTCAGTCTGACTGTTCATCCTTTTTTCTTTGATGTTCTGTTTTATTTTTTTTCTCCCTATCCCTGGTGATTGTTTGTGTGTGTGTGTGTGTGTGTGTGTGTGTGTGTGCATGTATATTTATGTATATAAATATATATATATATATATATCTTTATTTATCTGTCCTGCCCTGTCCCGTCAGCCCAACAGGTTAGGGAAACTGGCTGAGCAGGTAACCTTAGGATAAGAGTTGCTGTTTGCTCATTGGGCTGCCGCTGGGTCTTTATGTGTGTGTATATGTCTGTGTGTCTGTGTGTTCATGTGCGTGTTTGTTTACCTTTGCATGGTTTTAGAACACGCTTAACCTTTTCACTGATTTTTCTCTTGGTTTTCTGTTTTTTCTGACCAGCTTCGGCTTTACTTTAGCGCCATTCATTTTAGGCAAGTCGTAGCTGTACCGGCTGGCTTTCAACCATTGCTTTATGAAAAGTTACATGTGATGTGCTACTACATTAAACCATGAGCTAGCAGCATGAACTCTGCTGTGATTAGGGTAATTTTGGGAGTGCCGTGTCAAACTCTATGATCTTTATTCCACTATGTGACACAAACATTTACATTGAATAAGAATCGTTAATGTATGATTCTTTTGTTTTGTTTTGTTTTTACTATTGGAAGGACAGTTTTAGTTCATATTTCTTTCATTTACAACAATTTACCACACTCTTGTTTTGAAAGAAAGGTAGGGTGAAGTGTTGCAGCTACATGGCCCTCCAAAGTGAGTTTTTTTGAGGCACACTCCAGATCGAGTGTTAGTAGAAATCATCAGCAATATGGCTACACAAGAAAAAAAGACACCCACAAATATCTTCTCTTAGTTAATAAAGATTTTAAAATCATGATAACCAACTAAAACAAGTGTAACAAATGCTGATGTCGCAATAGCTAAATAGCTTGTTGCCGAAAGTTACATCGTCATTGCTGATTTATCCATGACAGACATATTTCCATGTTGCATTCCTCCCCATTTGATGGCATATGACACCCAAAATTTAACTTAAGTCCAGCAGCGAAGTTGCTGCACTTGTTACCAGTCCTCTAATATCAGTGTAGACTGGCAGTGTAGGAGCACGGGTTGCTAACATTAGCCTACAAAGCACCTCTAGTGGCCTGGTGGTGAAGCACAGTTTGTTCTGTCTCATTAAATGACTTGTTTAATGAATTGATGGCATAAAACTTAAGTTGTGAACGAATCACAAACGTCTTTTATCTCCATCAGATAGATGGCAAATGTCATTGTGATAATACCATCATGCCATCAGTCATGTCTGTTTAAGTAAACACCATCCATTACTACTGATGACGTATCACAGTCAGGGTCTTGAAGGGGTGTCCCAAATTTCAACCTCTGCCTCTTGTAACTCTGTTCTGAGGGGCAATGGGGTCAAAAATGAGGGGTAGGGGTAAAAATAAGAAATGGGATTAGGCCTTAGTTTTTTGAGTTAGTTGTAGTGGGTAGAATAAGTAATTATTTAGTTATTTATATGAAGGATATTCCGCTTTCTGCTGCCTTTTCATTCGCACCAGTAGCCATTTAGTAAGACAGGTACTTTTATTTGTTTTTGCCCCTTTAAATGCCAGATATTTTACTTTGGAATAAAACTGCTCATTAACAGACGTAGTTCAATGGTGTTCATTATGTCTTTAGTTTTTGATAATGACTTTAGTTGTTCTTTTATCTCAGACATGTTAGGATGTTAAATACCTTGACATATTTCGGCGGAAACTTCCGCTCTCCTCAGAAGTGTCACTTGGTGGTGGTTGTGACAGGACAGTCACACCTCCCTAATATCAGCTGATTGGCAGATCAGCTGATAAAGACGAGTCACCACCACCACCAAGTGACACTTCTTCCGCCCTCCTAAGAAGTGTCACCACCAAGTGACACTTCTTAGGAGGGCGGAAGTTTCCGCCAAAACATGTCAAGGTCATCCTAACATGTCTGAGATAAAAGAACAACTAAAGTCATTGTCATTAACAGACATGTTTGACTCTTGAGTTGTGTTGGATGAGCCAAAATGTTGATCAGGTTTATCAAAACAAATGTGTTTGACAGTACTGATCGATGCACTTTTAATTAGGCTAATAATCAGACTGCTGGCTTTGATTTTTTTGGCAAAGACTAATTGCTGGATTGCGTCTTGATGATGTGCGTCCCGCTCTGTGTTTGGCTTTAACCATACAGTGACTCAGTGCTAGCTTGTGCTCTGGCTACACTGGCAAAGGAGTAATGGAAAACACAATGTGTTGTGACTAGTCTTACAGCAGTAATGATGACAAATCCCAAAGCAGAGGGAATCAATATCTGACAGTATCAGTACTTGAGGAATGGCTAAATTACAATCCAGTTGCATGGCAGAGCTGTAGATATTTATCGGAACAAATGGTGCTCAGTTAGATATTTTATGACATTTGAGTGCGTCTTTTGTTACAGAAAATAAATATTTAAAGGAAATAAACTAAAGTTCATGTAATTTCTTGTAGGCTTTGAATAACTGGCTCTGTTGCTTTTTCCGACCATTTTACACTTATATGAAAACAAACTGGCAGCATTAGAGCAGGTGACATTAACTGTGCAGGTACTGACAGTGTCTGTGGCTACATGGTTGAGTTTTGCCAAAGTCCTAACTATCCTGGCTGGTTGGCTTCTGGCTGCCCCCCCACCCCCTGCCGCTTTGTCAACAGTTGTATCATAAGCAGCTTTCACCTCCCTTCCACTCAGGTACCATACAGCAATAAAGGGGACCTATTATGCTTTTTCTTATATTCTGTCATATAGAGCTGCTTCCTGAAAGTTGAGGATTCAAATCATCAGTCAGACACCCTTCAGTCGAACGAGATTCTTCAAGTCAAGCAGTTTTATTTATGATTTTTTTTTTTTTCCAGTCAGTGTGTGGTGTACTTCTGGGGATGTTTCAGTCCCCAGATTTAGCTGCAGAGTGAGCGCTCCTTTCTTTTGTGCTGATCTCTGGTACAGGTAGCTGTGGACTCAGACCCAGGGTGAGTCTGATTGAGAGGGAGGCAGCAACCCGGTCAGGCTCCGAGATAACATTATTTTCAGCCTTCTGCTTGGAAGTGGTGAATTTACAGCTCACAGCAACTTAATACGATAGTCTCTTTATCTCTTTTAACATTTTTATGAGTTGGGTACAGCCCTACTGTCATATATATAATGTTACAGTGTCAGATTTTAATATCAAATATGGCCGAAGTTTCAAACAATGAGATAAATGTATGTAAACATATTTCCTGTGAGCAAAAATCTCAGGCTTCAGACCACTCTGGATACACTTTTTTCCACATTTTTCCTACTTTTGAGACAAGCTGACGTCAGCTCGGATGGTCATCTGTTTCAGGCTACTGCAAGTGTTTACCTTGTGTACACTGCTACATGTAGCTACACGCTAACATCAGGGAAACCTGTAAACTTGATTGCTAATGTTAAATTCTCGCCAATTTCAGACCATATTCTTGCTGGAACATGTCCAGTTGCCTTTAGAAGCTTTTATTGGTGATTGTACACTGTAGAAGGTGCGTCTTCACCGTCATTCCCTGTGCAGAGACACCGAGAGCACAGATGCGGAAGACTTGGAAACACTGACCAATGAGAGCAGACTGGGTTATTTTCGGGAGCAGGGTTTAAAGAGAGAGACATTAAACTGGAGTGTATCAGGCAGAGGGTGAATACAGATGTTCCCTTATAGACAGTATTAGGAAATAAAGTGTTATGTGGACATGAAGCATGTCGACAAGTTCTAATAGAAACCCAAAATACAAGTATGAACCTGAAAATGAGCATAATAGGTCCCCTTTAATGTCAGGATTGTAATCAGAGTTAAATTATCCACTCATGTTGCACTCTGCTTGTTTTTCTCCAGGGCACAGCCGGTCCAGACCCCACTACTGTTTATGTGGACATGAGAGCTCTACGACATGATAGGTGGGGGGCACCACTGCAGCTATGTAGATATAGCTAGTTAGATGTAATGCTAGTTAATAATTTTATCATACTTTTTTTTACATGTTAAGAAATAGAAGGAAAATTGAGATATGAATTTGCTCATTTTGTTCCTTTGTTTCGTCAGGGTACGCCTGGTGGAGAGAGGGTCGCCCCACAGTTTGCCACTGATGGAGTCTGGGAAGGTATGACATCATGCAAACATGCACACTAAACACTACGGACATCTGTGACTTTACACTGGAATGAGGGTTGTTCTTCTTTAAAGCTCTGAGATATGACTGTCTGCTGTTGCAGATCCTTCCAGGAGTGAAGGTGATCATTGCCAACACGGAGACTAAAGGACCCCTGGGAGACTCCCATCTAGGAGAGGTAAGTCACAACGGCAGCAGGGTATATCAGAGCAGGCTTGTTTCACCATCACCTGTTCCACTTGGTTATGACCCACAATTTATCAGGTAACAGTCAGCTTTCTGCAGTAAACTGATCTGTTACACATCATATAAACAAGAGAATATAAACAGCTGCATTTTCCAGAAGAAAGTCACTTTATTTGCCATGTAACACTTTTTTTAAATGAGTAATTTCTTACCTTTTTAATTGACCAAATGATAATGTTAAAAAAATAGCACATACAAAGCAAAAACAAGCAGCACAAATACATATGAAGACCATAGAATGAGAATATCAAAAGACAATTCCATATAAATAAAACAAAATAGGAGTACAATATACAGAAAATACACTAATAAAAACATATTCAGAGGTTTCAGGGGGAAAAGTTTCATAATTTTTCAAAAGCGTATTACTTTTTTTGTTTCATAAACAGCGATTTAAGCAGAGAATTCAGTTACAGGAGAAAAGGTGAAAACATAGGTAATGATATACAAAATTTATCATGTCATGGAATGTCATCGTCACATTTTCCAGGCCTTGAAAAATCAAGCAATTAACAAAAATCATTGAATTTTGTTGTGTGTGTGTGTGAAGAAATTGTTACAGTAATCTTCCATGGATAAACTTCCACGCAGTGTAACATAACAGGAAATTAATTTTCCCTGCGTTCCATCTCTCCTTTCATGCATGGCTGCTAGCTGAAATGATGTTTGAATAGAGTTTGAATCTGATACATTTGAAAGTGGGGGATTAAAAGTTATATTTTTGATCCTTGAGAAGTCATGGAAAAGTTCTGAAATTTTGTCCATGAAAATGTGCGTGAACCCTGTAGTAAAAAAAATGGATATAGAATAATGAAATTATTCAGATATTCAAGGGTTTGCCATGTATACACATAACCAGATATCTAATGAGACGTTAACATGTACGCAGGTGCATGACGCAGGTGCATGACTAAGGAAGGAAAGAGTCATTCTGTTTCAGACAAATTAATGATGACTAAAACTGAAACTTAAACAAGTCAAATTAAGACAATATCCAGTGCAGAACGTTGAATTATTTGTAAAATTCAGAAACATTTGTGTCGTAAGAAAAGCTCTCATTATAAAGCTTGACCTCCAACACACACACACACACACACACACACACACACACACACACACACACTGCTTCTAAAATGAGGTCGAGGGTAAGAGAAGAATCTGATTACAAAAACAGGTTTATGGACACGGAAGAATTTGACATCAAGTTTTCAAAGCAGAAAAGAAACAACAGATCAATGACCAGTCAACATTTATTCTCTTTTATGTAAATGTTGGATTATGACATAATGGATCCATAACTTTAATCAAAAGAGTGACGGAGATATGTGTGATCATCTGTGTAAATGATCAGCAGTTACTTACTCTCTCTACTCATTATTCTGTGTGTAAGGTGTGGGTGAGCAGTCCTCACAACGCCACAGGCTACTACACAGTTTATGGCGAGGAGGCGCTGCATGCTGACCACTTCAACACCAAGCTCAGCTTCGGCGACACTCAGACAGTCTGGGCGAGGACAGGCTACCTGGGCTTCCTGCGGCGCACCGAGCTGACGGACGCCAGTGGAGGTGAGAAACACTGGTGCTCGCTTTGACTCAGTATATTGCTGGACTCATATTTTGATTTTTGTCACTGCAGAAAACTAAAGATATTTTCTAATTCCTGCTTCTCTCTCTAACTCAGAGCGCCATGACGCCCTCTATGTGGTGGGCTCTCTTGATGAGACTCTGGAGCTGAGGGGAATGAGGTATCACCCAATTGACATCGAAACCTCTGTAATCCGCTCTCACAAGAGCATAGCTGAATGGTGAGAAATTTACATCAATTATAGGTCACAACTTTATTGCTATGAAGTTTGAATAATTCATAATGTAGTCACAGTTGTTTATCCATTTTACATTCAAAGCTGAGTAACATGAATTCTGAGTACTAACTTCTCTCCTTTTTTCTACTTTCCCTTCTGCTCACCTCTGTTTCTCCTCCTGCCATCTTTTCTTTTTCCCTCCCTTCCGCCTCCCTCCAGTGCTGTGTTCACTTGGACCAACCTCCTCGTGGTGGTTGTGGAGCTGGAGGGGTCAGAGCAGGAGGCCCTGGACCTGGTGGCCCTGGTCACCAATGTTGTCCTGGAGGAGCACTACCTCATCGTAGGAGTGGTGGTGGTGGTCGACCCCGGCGTCATCCCCATCAACTCCAGAGGGGAGAAGCAACGCATGCACCTCAGAGACGGATTCCTGGCCGACCAGCTGGACCCCATATATGTGGCTTACAACATGTGAGGGCCCTGCTGCAGGAGGGTTGCCCCTCCACATGGATTTTCACACAACAGGAGACAGCAGGACAGTAAACGTGGGGCTGGTAATTGTAGCAGGCCCGGGGTCAGTGTGGCTTGTGTTGAGAGAGAAAGCAAGCTCTTCTTTCAGCTCACAGAGGGGAAGTGTGAGAGAAACGTGGATGCAAAACTTCACAGCAAAATGAAGAGAAATGAGTGACACAAACCTCATGTCTGTTTCTCCCTGTGATTTCTTGCCTCAACAAGTAATGTTTTAAAGAGCGTTTGGTTTTGTTGAAGAGTGTTTTGTATGTATGATGGAGCATCTGACTCCTTAAACCCAGGGCACCCAATAGCAGTACAGCAGGTTGTTAAAGGAAGACTGCAGCTCCCAAAGGACCATTTGCGTAGTGATTACTCACCCCGTTGTTGTGAAGAAAACTTTGTTTTTCTTGCATGCCTCCACGAGGGTTGGGTCCCATTCACATTTTAACCAATGTCGTTTCCTAAAGGTACCTTTTGTGGTACTTAACTCTGTAATAACAAAAAAAATCATTTTTGAACAAGCTGCCGTGGCGATGGTGTAGACTTAAACACAATTCTGCTCCTCTGCTCTTTTCTTATCACACGTAGGGCTAATCTTCTCTCTGTCTGTCTGTCCGTCTGTTTATGTGTGTGTGTGTGTGTGTGTGTGTGTGTGTCTGCTCATCTAGCAGTACTTAAATAATATAGAAAAGAAAATACACCAGACACTGAAACTATTGTGGCAGATCGGCACTGCAGCGATACTTTTGGCATGCTGGGAAGCTCCACAGCACTTCCATGTCTTTTCTAAACCCAGCGTTCTCAGCCAGATGTGCTCTCAGGTACCAGCATTTGACATCAATGGATTTAATGGGAGTCGGTACTTGATAATACCAATATAATTTGCCTGGTACCCTAAAAAGTACCATGTTCAGTACGTAACCCTTGCCCCCACGGTGAAAATAGAATCCAAAATAAGAGAAAGGTCTTGAAGAATTCAAGTCATAGGGAGCCGCATTTAACAACAGCAATACTATATTTAAACACTCACATAACTCGTGCAGTCTAATCCAAGTCTCATTTATCCAGTCGTATGCTCAGTGCTTCCCAAACACATGCATTCTTGCTACAAATCTGGCTATTTAAAACTTTGATAAAAGTGAATCTTACCTATGCTCTCGTCAAAGCCAGACTCCATTGACAAAAACAGTAATTTTACCTCACTGAACACAGGAGCTGCTGGTCTATCACTGCCTCAATCAGCTAATTTGTTTGTGTTATTGTGTGACTTTGGTGTTTTAAAGGGTTAGGTTGGATTTGCTAAGGTCACACAGTAACACAAACAGACCAACAATTGAGGCAGATGTAGATCAGCAGCTTCTGTGTTCAGCAAGGTAAAATTACTGTTTTTGTCAATGGAGTCTGGCTCTGGAGAGACATAGATAAGTTTCACATTCAGTTCTCTGTCAGAAAGGGCTGTTTGTCTGGGAAGTACAGAGTAAACAACTGGAGAAATGAGACTTGGATTATACTTCTCGATTTGTGTGCGAGTTTGTGAGCTGATGTTTTAATTAAGTTTTGCTGCTTTTGAAAGAATTTTCTCTGATTTTGTATTCTTTGTTCACCAGAGGCATGCAAGAAAAAGTTTTCTACACAAATTCAACGTGACTCGGGATGAGTAATTGATATACAAATGGTCATTTTGGGGGTGAAGTATTCCTTTAAAGGTATAATACTACACTGTGCCATTAACATAAGTTAATTTGTCAATCTCCACTATTGTGAATGTTAGTTGTTTTTGCCATCCACTTGTGCCATAGAACAGGACTGACGCCAACACCCTTAACCTGGTTCAAACGAGCTCTAACATGTTTTGTGTTCATAGAGCCTCCTGTGCCATTGCAGGTCGTATGCTTTTCATAGAAACAGTCTATACAATGTACGTTGTCATTACATTTATGGGGGAGCAGCTCTTCAGATTACAGCTGCGATCTGAAATGAACCCTGATTTTTGTGTTCCAGCTCAGTTCAGATCATGTTATTGCATCAACAAAGAAGCACACAGCAGTGGTTAGTGTTATTTGTTGCTCATCACGGTAGTCCTTTAGTTTGTGGTGTCAGTAATTGAGCGCATAGAAATAATGTAGTTTGACTCAATCTCGTTCTTTTCTAAATCTAAAATGTGTAATATAGTAACTGCTTTATCTGAACAAAATGCAATATGTGTGATGTGGACGATGTTGCTTTGAATGAGTGCAGACAGTAAGTGCTGATCATTTGAAGTCGTGAGATGGCGAGGAATATAATCGTTGCTTGCTATTAGCAACGTGCCAAATGAAATGAATTAAGCCTTAAGTGTTTTTTCAGACGCCTGTTCTTATCCCAGCTCCTGTTTGACTTAATTTTGTGAAGTTCATCAGCTGTTGGATAGGGAGGGAATATGCAGAGGAAGGTGACGTATGGTAACTCCTGCTCTTATTGCACCCAAAGTCTGTCATCTTTTTGGCTAAGATGAAAATACTTGATCGTAACGTCAGCCATTACAAACACACACTTACTCCATTAATATTTTTTAATAATGTCTGTCCCTGTTGTCAGTTGTGTTGAATGTGTGTTTTATAGCAAAAGACTGGAAGAATTTACAGTTGGTATGGGTCTGATGCAGAATGTCCTCGCCTCATTTTGAGTGCCATCAGGTTGAATGAGAGCTGACAAATGTGAGTTGCATGTACCGAATGACGGCAAGTGTCTAATATCCTCGTAACACCTTGACCTCCCACCTTATCACGTTGACTTTGTAAAGATTCACTTCACTGTATGTTGCTTCTTTTCTTCTATGTGCACATCCCTTCAAAAACAGGCTGCAGCCTGCTGTAAGTATGTACAGGTTTTGTGTAAATTATTAATAGATGGAGGAGACGACGACATAACACAAAGACTGAATCTGGTATATATGTGAACTTCTCCCTCACAAACGACAAATTATTTGAAACGTACTCTCATGCGTGGACATTGGGAAGAGACATGAAAAGCCTTGTAAACATTTTTATAGTATGAAAGAACAGTGGGAACTGGCCACCTCCAGGATGAGACGAAGCACACTCCGAGCACAAGGAGAAGACAGTTAAGCTCTGGTGACTGCTGAGATGTCACATCCTCCAGAGAAATCTTTTGTTGTTAACATATGGAAAGATACATTTGTCTGATATATGGTTAGTTGTCATTATTTTCATAACATGATTTCTTAATGAATAAAAAAGTGCTTTTAACTTGAACTGTTTGTCATTACTGGCAGTTGTGCATTCAGGTGTCCTGTGCAGTAAGAATATATAAAGTAAATGCTACTATCTGAGGTCACAGTGAACACATTTCAGTTCAGTTCAGGCTTCATGTAAAAACCATGCACACCCACACAGGCGTGTTCAGTATCCTAGGTGACAAGCCCTTCCTTCAGGCTGAAGGTGGGCAGAGCTAAATTGTAATTGTATGTCAGCGGGCTTCCTAATAAAGAGCTGCAGTAAACAGGAAGAACTAAGAAAGTCAGAAACCCTCTCTCTTGATACCACTTACATTTGTAACTATGCTAATAGCTACAACTCCAGCTCTGGAAAATAGCTTTTATATCAACTGTTTGTTGTGCTGTTTGCTCTATATATTTAGGTAAGAACTCTAAACACCTAATATCAGCATTGGTGTTGTGGCACCCAGTAATGTAATAATTTCCTGAAAATGTAATAACGCCTGGAAATCTTATAGAATTTGCACTTAACCTGATCAAAAATGTATAAAAAAAAATCCAATAACATAATACCTTGACCAACAATGTCCTTTTTTTGATGATAGGATATATTCAAGACATCTTAAAGGTATGTATTACTTGTTTTTGTTTTTAATTGGGTCGCAAATCATTTAATTCTTGAGAGATTTATGCAATATTAAGTACTGCAAACAATAAAAGATCATATTAAATGAAATGTGGCTCGCAACCCAAAAAAAAAAAAGCAAAAGATTATGCTTTACATTTTAGATATCTTGAATGTATCCTATCATTGAGAAAAGGGCAGAGGGTTAATAATTCAAAAAACCATGTCTATCCCTGGCCACATTGTACTACAAGAACACGAAACGGGAAATGCTGTTTAGTACTTTATTGAATTTTATTATCATCATTTTTTTTCAAATGTAAAAGGTAGAAATCTGAACCAAAATTATGGTGACAAAATTCCTCAAAATTCTGGATATTTGCATTTTCATAACAAAGTTGTGCAGTGATGATAGTAAGTTTATTACAGTTAAGCAAAACTAGATGGAAAAAAAGAAAAAATAACGTAACAAATAATAAAATATTTTAGTTAAGCAAAATAAAAATAAAAACTAGACTTAAAAATTAAAACTGAAACAATATAGTGAACTTACAAAATTAACTAAAATAAAATATCATACAGTAAATATCTGACCATGTGGTACATTTTTGTCAACACAACAAGCATGAGGAGGCGTGGGTGTGTACTTTTACTGATTCTTCACAAAGTTATGTGTTTGCATTATAATACCTATTCTAGACTTCTTAGAAAATAAAAAAGCGACACTGAAACTAATAAAAACATACCTAAAACTAAACACTTTCCAGCAAAAAACTGAACTGGAACAAGGAAACCAACTATTAAAACTAACTAAAAATATTTGAAACTAAACTGAGCTGAAGTCAAAAAATAAACCCTAAATAAAAAGCAATACTCACAAAAATTACAAAAACTACAATAACTCTGATCCTCAGTGCGTAGTTATAAATGGTACCAAACCACAACCGTAATACAGAGTATACAGAGATTACATATTGGTCCTCAGTGAGAAGTTACACATGTTAACAACATTGCTAAAAAAGAAAAAAAAACTTTGACATTTGCATTGTCATAAAGTAATACAAAAAATGTATTGGTGCTTAATGAGTAGTCAAAAAACCTTAATATTTCATTTTCAAAATAAGTTCTACAGAGATTATATTGTTCTTAATGAGTAGATGTAAATGTTTACAACATGAATGATTTTTTTTTTTTTTTTCAAATTTGCACTTTCATAAAGTCATAACAAAGAGTGGTCCTAAATGTTTACACCACTGCAACAACAACAACAACAAATAAACAAATAAACTTTAGTTGCATTTCTGAAAGTAATACAGTGATTATTTTAGTCATGAGCGAATGAACAGAATGCTCCAATATTTACATTTTCATAAATTCATACGGTGATTTATGACTTGGTCTTCAGTAATGAGACACAACATAGGCTACTTATTTTATGAGATTCATAGTAATGTTGTAATGTCACAATAGGCTAACAGTATTTTTAACATGTCGAAATATCTTGAACTGATGCTGTCAACATGGCTGTTTATCTTGAATCCCTAATTCACATATGCTTCTACTTTACTAAGAAGCTCAGACGCCTTAGCCAGTGCTAACATTTCATTCTCCGATTTGAACTGTTCGTTTGGAATATGTGGAAATGGATGGCAGTTTGGGTACTGAGTCTTTTTGGCGTCCACTCCCAGTTTCCTCAGATCGGCCACAATTTGAGGCAGATCTCTCAGTTGGAGGTTGTAGAGGGAAACTTTTGCAGCAAGGGCTGAGATTGAGCTGCTGGTGGGATGTTGACCATCTCTTTTATACTTTGCAGCAATGAGAGACTTTTCCACTGCTTGATGGATTTTGAACAGACACCACTCTGTGCTTGCCCTACCAACATCTTGGTGAGCTGCATTTAAATCACAGCGAGCTTGTCTACACCAGCGTTGGGCTTCCTCTTTGTTTGGCCTTGGTACGTTTTCATTATGGGTCCAAAAGTTGTATGAACGGTTGCCTCTAGAGAACCTCTCTCGACCATCTCTGTGATGCCTGGCCTCCTGATTCCATTGTGAATAGAAGTTTGAATAGAAATTTGAGGTGCCGTGTGAATAGGACGAGCCTGCAGTTTTGCCTTTGCCTTTGCCTTTGATGAGCTCATCGATTCGATTCTGCAAGTATTTGAATGCTTCAGTGGCGAGATGCAGGCAGTCGGGGTTTTTGTCAGGATGCCATCTGAGGTACAGTCGTTTGATGGCTTTTTTCTTCTCCTCCTCAGGAAGAGTCCAGATCTCTGACAAACACTTGTCAATTTCCCTTTTAGCTTCATCAATAGTGGCTGGTGTGGATCTCGTAGATGAGGAACCTGAAGCTGATGGTTGGGAAGAATGTGGCACGGCTCC